TGTGGAGATAAATCATTTGCATAATGAAGAGGACACTCATAGAAAAACAAAAAAAAAGCAGGGGTTTCCAAAATTGGAGTTCAAAAAATTCTGAAAAGACATTGAGAAAACGAGACTCTTGACAGCCATGCAAGACCTGGTGAAGCACCAAAACTGTCCCTATCAGATAAACAGTACTTGAACCTTTCATCTTTGAGCGAGAGGAGAAAATCAAGCTCCACTCTTACTTCAGACCTGAAAAAATCCAGAAGTGTTTCTGTCCATCCTTCCACTGTGAGAAGAAAACTCAACACTATGAGTCTAAAGGATGTGTAGCCATCAAGAAGCCAATACCGAGAAAAGGTAACAGTCATAAAAGAAGAAAATTTGCAAATCAAACAAAGAAGTTTCTGGTGTTCTTAGAACAATGGACTGACCACCCCAGAGTCCAGACCTCAGTATTAATGAATGTGTACGGGATTACCTGGATTGTGAGGAGCAGAAAGTGCAACCAACTTCTGAGACTGAATCTTGGTCAGTCAGAAAAGCTGAAAGCAAGTTTCCCAAAAAGAATGTAAGCTGTAATAAGGACCAACGGTGGACACATAAATGACTGAAAAAAATTATATTATATTTAATTGTTGAGGCTTCTGTGTTGTCACAAGAACAATGTTTAAAAATAACATGCACAAGTGTGAAGAATCTTTTTAAAGTTAGAGAACCATTATGTAATATTTCTATACCTATTACAGTATTTTTAGAAACACATATCCAAGCTGAGGACCACTTAAGCTGAGGACCTCTGTTTTTGTTCTATTTTTTTCAACTGTCAAAAATGAACATTGGAACATTTCTGAAGGCAGCAGTGAAGAGAAAACTAACATATGGGGCAATACAAGTAGACTGCATGGTGGTTTCCTCTTGTACAAACGTCTGGGTGGTGCTGTGCTCTGCCTACAGGCAAATTTTACATCACAGACTAAAAATGTGCAGGAGATGAGGACTCACCCTAACTTTCACATTCACGTGCCAATTTTAGTACTTAAAGCAACAGTTCTTTCAGACGTACGCTGCTGTGACACACAGCTATAGGGGGAGGACAACATTAGACAACCAATTGCCTATGCCCACATGTGGAGACATGCTAATGCTCATGTCTGTGGTTGGAGCTATAGGTTGCTGGACGTGCCTCAGGAGACCTACAGAGAAACAGACGGTCCAGCCCACCTGGAACTTATAATCCCACATAACTAATTACACCTGGCAAGTGGAAAATGCCTATGTGAAGCATAGTTTCCTTTGGGACTTAATCTAAAAATTCAGAGACTTTATTCAAGTGTTTGATCTTAGAGTGCTTGGTAGATTTTCTACTGAGTTTGATAAAAGTCCTATTTATTTAGACACAGTCAAAGAGATAAAGCCACAACAATTAGGCAGTAGAACAGATGCTGAGATGCTTTTAAAGAGAAGGTTTATCTTTAAATAGACCATGTTGATTTAAAGAAAATAACTAGAAAGGAGGCCTTAAATGTTCTTTATGAAATTTGCTTTGGGACTTTTTGGGACTAGATAATGTTTATTTAACTAAATAACACTTCAAATGGATGCCTTGCAGGTCATGCCACCTGTTACAAAGTAATACTATTAGGAAATTCTGAAAGAATGAAAAACTGGATTGTGCATGCATCTGCATAAAAACTATTGGCTATATGTGCATAGAAGCTCTGTAATTCCAGAAAGAAGCCTCTGCAAGTTGGGATAAGACCACCAACACTACCCTCTTGCATCTTCTGCCTTAAGGTCAAGGACCCTCTAAGTCATACCAACCAGCTGCTTCTACCACTTCAAGCTCACTCTGGATTGGAAAAGCGAGGGCATGTAACAAAATTGCAGAAAAGGAACGTGGGTGCTGCCAGAGGGAGTATGAAACATCTTTCACATGATTGCAATGAGTGTAGTTAATGTAATCTGTCCAGCCATCAGCAGGAGACAAGTTGGTCATTCTGTAATTTCTCTGGAGTCCACATGTTGTTATGCCAAACACATGGCCTTATCTGGCTATCTAAAAACCTGCGAGGTTTCAGCTTGATTACATAACTCCTGGGAGTGGATTGGCATCCACAACAAAAGAAATACCTGACTGGAAATTCAGGCAATCACAGTTCATTGAATTCTGTTTTCATTTTTCATGGTAACACTTCCTCTCTGGAGTTCTTAGGAAATGATAAAGGACTCCAAAAAAGGAGCTTAAAATATCTTAGATACCTCTAGATACAAACAGTCTGATGATTTACTCAGAGCATTTATAGACAGATGTTACATAACCAACTCTGGCTCCAACTGTTGCTCACAACAAGCTGGAGTATATACCAACTACTGCTACAACTGCAGGAGTATCTTAACACAGGAAAACCACATTTATGGTATTCGTTTATCTTTACACCAAGAGAACCCAAAAGTGCTGATTCACATAGTATTTCAGTCTAATGTCTCTTCAACTGAAGAAAAAAAGCTTTGCATACAATGATACAGTATCAAGAGGACATTGGCTTTAAGAACAGGGGATATTATACGGCTTTATCTAAGCATTCTTTAATGTAAATAATATTGGGGAACATTTTGAGACAGACAGGTGTAGGTACTTTAGGTAACTTATGGTCAGGTAACTTGATATGCCTGTTCATCGTTAATACCATTTTAAAGGCCATTTTGGTCACCTCACAGAAGAATTATTAATAATAATAATAATAAGAAGAAGAAGAAGAAGAAGAAGAAGAAGAAGAAGAATTTAAGTGAAAAGAGGTAAGTAAATAAGATAAGCGATAAGTTAAACATTGTAAAGCAATGGCTTTGTGAAGTAACAACACAATTACAAATAATAGAAGAAAAAAGAATCCCAAGACTATAAATTTCAAAATCCGAATTACTTGTTTCACAAGTGTGTTATACATACAAGGAATTTGTTTTGATGAGTGCACACATGACATGTAATGCACTGAACAGACAGCACACAGACTAGTAACAAATATTTCTCTATATATATATATATATACACACACACACATAGATGGATATATGGGCATCAATGCAGAGGGGAGTTACTTTCTAAAATAATCTAAAATAGGAGATATTTTGATTTTGACACTTTGTGGTCTGTGCATAATGCCGTATTTACTGTTGAATAGCTGTGATTACGTCATTATTGTTCTAACGTATGGAAGAGAGTAAAATTGAGGAATCCGTCTAAGAGCATAAAAACAGAGATTAGTGGAGTGTACAGTAGTGCTGTGAGCAGGCACTAAACGAGCCTCTATGCTCCAGTGCTAGAGGTCTTCTGCCTTGCCTGCCTGCCTGGATGTGGTCGGGAAGAGGCGTGGAGCGCCCCCCACCTGCAGGAGCGCTGCAGTGCAGCCAGCCAACCTCAGCGCGGTCACGTGGAGCACGCAGACACCGGCCAACCTACTTCCATACGCCTCGAACTCTTTTACATAATGTTTCTAATCCCGTGTGTGGCGCGGTGCCAGCTCGGCCTGAGAGGACCCCGGCCGCACGCGCTCACTTCAGGTCAGTCCAGCTCGCCGCGAGTGAGACTGCAGACGCAGCTCCCGCGCCTGTCTGCTTTCTGGAAGCACAGAGCAGGACAGCAGCTCGGCAGAGCGGCGGTCAGAGAGCCGGGGTCGGTGAAGCAGCCCTGAGGAGCTGGTCTGGGACTGCGGCCAGTGTCTACTGCGGCTATGGCCACATAAACTATGAGTAAACCTGAGATTATACAAGTACAACATACAGCATCCTTAATGAATGACCGTAGTCCACATGGAACACTTTATTGATCTGAACGCACCCTTGCAAAAAAGATGTATAATAATAGTATAAAATAGTATAAGGTTTCTACAGCCCTGTATAATTCTTCTATATTAGTGTGTAATACTTCTGTATATCTCAGTGTGGTCTTCTTGTAGTACTGTCTTAACGTGATCTATAACAGTATCCTGTAGTGGACTATAGTAAGTGTACAGATGTACTATGAGGTTCGTACAGGAACCCTGTGGACCAAAGTGTGGCCGTTTAAATTGGCTAACTAGAAAGTTATCCTAACCCCACACCCTCGCAGAATGAGAGCATATTTTTATACCAAATCTGACTTATTAAATTCTTTTTTTACCCTTTTAAAATTTTATTTTTGGGACAAATCAAAATGTATGCCTTGAGTAATGTTGTAAAATGCATTTTGTAAGAACATGATTTGAAACCTTCCTTCTTTATTTGTTTACTGTTTTGTCTTTTTGCCCTTTGGCCCACCACAAATGTTGGACTTTGCCCTCCCAGGACAGAAAGTTTTGGCACCTCTAACACAGACAAAATGAGAATGAATAGCTTGTAATTCCTGTAAATTCACATTCTGGAGTGGCTGTAAGGGAAAAAAATACTGATTCTGCTTTTGAGGATTAAAACAAGGCTGTTGTGAATCGTATGAAAAAACCATACCATTGCATAAGGTCATTTAGAAAGTTGCGCAAATAAATTAAGACCAAATGAGTCAAGAGAACCACTTAAAATCACTGATGTAATATCAACAACTGTTTAAACCTGCGTTTTTCATTGAAATAATATTTACAAATAATTTGAGGCATTCAGTATGTTTAAATTGGAAGAAGCATCCTGTTTGAATATCCCTGTATGCAGTCTGGGATTTTCCAGGTTTACACTGCTTTAAATCATCTAAGTAGAGCTCATTGTGGAGTTTGACAGTTTAAGACAAAGGAAGACACACTTTAGCTCTTACATAAAAGAGCTGACTGATTTCTTGGAATGAAAACTGAAAGACAAGAAACACATTTCTGACAGGATAATTAAAAATGACTGGTACAAAATGCTTTGAAAGGCTTTGACGGGTTTAAGAAAAAAAACATTGAAGGCTACAAACTTTACATTTGAAATGATAACACCACAGTAATAGAATTACAAATAACACAAATTACAAACATGAAAAGGAAGAGAGAGTAGAAAAAAACAAAATTTTAATGAAAAAGTTTTGTTCTTTAGCAGGCTCAAAGTGAGGTGCCTGCAGGTGACAGAGCTGTAGGAGAACTGATGAGAAATTTCTTCACATCTGCTGAGAACGCACCCCAGAGCTCGTTCCTCAGGAGAACACAAGGACTTTCTGCAGAGCCCTCCTGATGTGCAGCTTCTCCTCAGGCTGGCTTTCTGGGATCATTCCCGCACTGCGCTCAGCGCTCAGCCGGACATCAGGCCTCGTCTGCCTGATGCCCTGCAGACCCATCTGCGTGATGTTCCGGCAAAAATCCAACCTGACCTCCACCAGGCTGTTGCCATGGGTCACCACCGCCTGCAGGACAGTGTCCGTCACCCGACAACAGTTCTCCAGACACAGCTTCTGGAGCCGCCTGCAGCTCCGGAGCACGCTGATGACATCATGATCTGTGATGTGTCCGCAGCCGGACAGGGTCAGGGACAGCAGGTTTGGACACCTTAAGAGAGATAAAAAGAGAGTCTTAGCAGAATAGCAGGACATAATAAATCATAGGGGTGCATCAGTCTGAAAGAGGTGATTCAACTGCATCAGTTTTGGGATGTTAGAATCAATGTTAATAATTTTCACTGAAGTATGTGCTATTTTTGTGCTTTTTCTGTGCTATTTTTAAACAACTTATTGTGTAAATAGTTTCTCCGGTCACATTTGTATATTTAGTGTATTTGTATTGAACCCACAAGCAGGACGTAGCTAAATAAAGGGTTTTAAATAATTGTGAATCATAGCAAATCATTGTGACATTTGAAATTTCATGATGCACTGCATCACCTCCTAAAGAATTGTAATAAAATAGAATTGTAAGGTCAGAGATTCAAATCCCAAGTGCTGTCATATGAGAAAATAGCATATTGTCACTATATTGTCACTATCTCCTTTTTCTCTATTTTTCTTTTCCACATAGTTGAACACATCATATGTCCTTTACATTGTGAAAAATTGACTGCAGGTCACGTAGCAACGAGGTTTCGCCGAGCTAGTAGCGAACGAAAAAGGAAAAGAGAAAGACAAACGAACATTTGGAGACAAATGGACTTATTTGCATTTATAAGCAGCGCACTTGGTTTCCCGGTACGTTAAATCTGCAACGAGAGACTGTCAAACACTAACTAAAAAGTGGCGAAGATGAAGTCGCTTCTCTGTCTAATTTTCCCGTTCCACCTTAAATGGTGCCACAATTACATTCGGCGTCTCAGTCAGAATTTAAGGTGGAACGGGAAAGTTCAGCAAGAAGCTGGCGAATAAGAAGCGACTTCAGCCTCGTAAAACAGCCGAAAGCTGAGAGACATTTTACAAGAAACTATTCAACTTTTGAGGAAAAGGTTTTCTGGCAGAGATGGGAGGAAAGCAGCTATAGCTGAAGCTTAAAGCAGAGCGCCCGCGTTTTCGTTTATATTGTTTAGCCTATACTAGGACATTATCACATACTGAGACATACTGGACATTAAATGTTGTGGCTCCCAAGGTGGTTTGATTTTTGTTGAAAGGACAAAACGGCTCTTCTTAATATTCGGGTTGTGACTCCTGATCTAACCTGGCTTTAATGCAGAGGGAGCTGGTCGGATTTCTCACTCATCCAGTTGTGTTTTTGTTATGTGCCGCCACAGACTGTCCGGGCGCTGCACTTACCCATTTCCAAGTTCCGCCCTTTGCGTTCCGTCAACATTACGTTATAAATTAAATATGTAGAAAATCGATTTTTGACATTTGTGAATCGATTCAGAATCGTCCACGTCTGCATCGCGATGCATCTAAGAATCGATTTTTTCCCGCACCCCTACTGTATACTGACTATTGTACATAGCTGAGGAAAAGAAAGACGAGTGCCTGAGGAGCTTTGGCTCGGATTCAGCCTCTTTGAATGTGATGTATAGTTGTGTAAGATTACATTTTTGTTCTTTCTGCTCTTGTTTTGAGTGGGAGCATGTCTGTGAGCTGGGTATGGCTTCTGAGTGCGCGAGTTGTGTTTGCCTTTTGCTTTTGAGTGAACATAGACTCGTGAGTTGACTGCATGATGAAAGCTCTTGGTTGATCAGTGGAGGCATCAAGTGACAGGCACTCCAGCACAGACAGGACTGATCTAAGCCAGGCGTCAATGGGATGGTAAATAACACTCGTACTGACATAGCAATCTGATTCCGCTGACAATAGAGACATTTCAGACAGTAACTTGAACTAACCACAGAGATGTTTGTGGTGCATAGATGATTTGAATCATTGTTGAGCTCAAGGGCTCTGCTGTTTTTTGACTATAAAAATTCCCTTGGTATTAGTTTTAATTTATTAAATGAATCATATTTATTTGTTATTGCTATGGAGCATATTACTTGTTATCGATGGTGACAAAAAGTTATTGGTAAGCCTGTTGATGTGTAGATCCTTCTAGTGCATTCTCCCCCCATAGTGTCAGGAGAGGTGCTGCAGCCTGCTGGTGGACTTGCACACACACAAACACATGTAAACACGCGTACACACGGCTGATGGCTGCAGCTTTGGGATGTCATTCACGTTTGCTGATCTGGATTACATAAAAGCTTACATAATCTTACCACTTAACCACATGTGAGGCCAGTGCATTCCTGTAGCCTCTGAGTGTTATGGTACTGTCCCAATAAACCTGGACGTAGGGCGGTGCACAACACGTGCCCCTCCTTTTATTACTACAACTGGCTATTGATGGCACCAGCAAGCCAAAAAAAAGGGATCGCACAGGGAGGAAGGAGGAGTTAGACTGACAAGAATCTAAAGCCTGAGGGACTGGTAGGTTAGACAGGGTTCATTCGTGTTGGTTTTAGTCTTTGTCCTGCAGCAGAAGATGCATTCATGTGAGCAAAGTATAAGTAAACAAGGCAGATATACGTGCCTCATTTCCCAGTTACATAATCATGCCCTCCTCTCTCATGGCACCGCCTTCCTTTTGTTTTTCTCTTTTTTTGAAAGCACAGGCATTTTTCCAACAAAGCAGCCTGACCGTCAGGCAGTTTCGCACTTCCGTCACTCGCTCAGTCTCATTTACTCACTCATTCACACACACACACGCTCACACACACACATACACACACACACACATGCATATCTCTGTCTCAATCTCATTTTTGGTGAATTGTGAAAAAGAGGCTTGGTGTGCAAGAGCGGGAACAGACCTGACTAATATTTTCCAAAACATGCACCGTGTACCCATTTCCCCATTTGGGTGGAGGCTCAGTAAAAACAATGTAAATGGCCCTTTGCATTACAGTATGTTTTTTACAGTACCGTGCAAAAGTCAGTGACCACTTTTATTTTATTTCATTTGCAGTAAAAATGGCCATTAAGTACAAGTTATTAATTTATCAGAAGATATTTCTGTGGAGATCAACAAAGGGAAAAGTCAAATGGAAACAGGTCATAAACAGGAGTTTCCAAAACTTCCAAAAAATATTTAAAGATACAGAGAAAATAGGACTCCTAACAACCGTAAAAGACCTGGTAGACCACCAAAATTTTCACCATCAGATAAACAGTATTTACAGCTTTCATTTTAAAAGCTTTTATCTTTCATCTTTAAGACGCTATGAGTCTGAAATGATGTGTAGCTGTCTAGAAGCTGTTACTGAGAAAAGGAAATAGTCAAAAAAGTAGAAGATTTACAAATCAAACTAAGAAGCTGCTGGTGATCTCAGAACAATGAACTGACCACCCCAGTCCAGACCTCAATATCACTAAATGTGTTTGAAATGTAAAAAGCAGAATATACAAACAACTTCTAAGACTGAACTTTGGAGGTGTGGAAAATGTCCCTGGAGAAGGGTGAACACACTATTTACTAAAAAAAAAAGTATATTTTCTGTTGAGGATTCTGTGTAATTTCCTATTAATTGTATGATCAGCTTTTACCCTGAAAAATGAATGACTTGTAATGGTCATTTTTACTGGGAATTCAATAAATGAAAGGTGGTCTCTGAATTTTGCACAGTACTGTATGTAGCTTTCAGCCCACTATAACTGAATAGTACTGTAATTGGACGGTATTAGTGCAGTAATTTACTAAATGCCCCATCTGTTGATCTGCCACTCATTTTTATTTTATTTTATTTTATTTTACAATATTTCAATATAAAGTGGTGATATAACATGCCTAATGTCCTGTGTTGCCATGGCCTCTGGAATAACTGAAATACACAGAAAAGCACACAGGCTGCCCAACTCCAGGCCAACCTAATGACCAGTCAAAGCCAAGAGTATCAAAGTACAGCTGTGTGCACAGATGACTGTGGTCAAACACAGTTAGGCCTTTTATTTTCTTTCTAAATGGTCTGTTTGGAGGCATGTCATTTTTCATTTGACACACCATTATATAATATTCATCAGTCTTTCTCTCTGCGGCATAGAGCAAGATTTTTTTCCTTGTGTTGAGCGCACAGGTCCACATAATGAAAAGTTATGCGTAGCATCAACTAATATTTGTAAAACAATACATCAGGTCAAGCTGCACAATCCAAAACACAGAGGACTACATTGAAAACTGTAGACCTTAAGTTCATTTTCGCGCAGTCTAAACTGATTAGCAGGACTGTGATGAAGTCGCCCTGCAGCTTTTCAGCTATCGTACAGCGATGTGTTAAGTAACAGTCAACTGAATGAAAATGGAGCTAGACACTGTTATGAGAAATAAAATTGGATCTCTGCATGAACTTAATAACACCATCTAAAACTAGCTTCCCAGGGCACTCAATGTTTTATAGATTTTCCTTTGCAGATGAAATATGTCTCCATAACGGCATCAGCCTGTGTGTATGTGAGAGAGAGAAAGAGGGAGAGAGAGCGTGAGAGAGGGAGAGAGACTGCGACACACATGTGCATTCCACCTACGTCAACAAAGAGGCAATTGTAGGCTCCACCTGCCAAATGTAAATCTTGGGAGAGGAGCAGATGGGGGAGGGGCAAGACACTTTGTATCTCTCCTCTAATTCCTCTCTCTCTCTCCCTCCCTCTCTCTTTTAAGTTACTCCAATTTTCTTTGGCCATTTTTCAGGCACCGAAAGCTATCCTCATCTCACTTTTGCCCTTCTGTGACTCCGCATACTCAGCAGAGGGTGTGGGTCTCTTGTCTTTGAGTCATGGCTGCACAGTGGGAGGTTTTTTACAAGCCTGGCTATCCTCTGGAGCTTCAGTAGAGAGATCACTGCCCCTCTGAAGCCATCTTGTGTGACAGCACCGTGAAGCTGAGCCACAGAGCTTCATACTGTCTCCAGTCATTACGGGCTGCCTAACTGAAACTGTGCAGGCCCCTCATTAAAACTCCAGTGGCAAATTCATCTCTGAGTACCGCACGCCACTCCTCGGACCTTCTGTCACTCAAAATCATGAGCAACTACTCTTTCAATCTCCAAGTTAAACAAGGTGAAAAAAGGCAGGACGTTTCCATATTGTGCTCTGTATCGATAACATCTTCTGGACCTTCAGGCATGCTTGTGATTAGAGGTTGGGACAGAGTAGAGGAAACTGTTAGACCCTTTCTGGTGGGATTATACAGTTGAATCGGACTGGCTTTCATGCTCAAGTCATTTCGAGTTTCCTCTCACTAAAATGTGTACTTCATTCCAGCAGACACTCAAATGACTTCCTCATGCCGTTCCCATTCAGATGTGCTCCCCGAAGACGTAGATTGATTGTTGAATGCTACTGCAGAGTACGTTTATCTGTACCCACAGGCAAAGTTGGTTGTTTACCATCATGCTTGTTTAAAAAAGAAAGAAATGAGTGGCAGCCATTTGCATCCTTCTCTCCAAAGCCCTCTTGAGGAAAAATAATTGAGTACCTGGGGCAATATGGATGCTTTTTTCTTCTTCTTCTTCCAGAAGAAGTGCAGGTTTACATCCTGTGGGTTTGAGTGACAGTCTCAGAGGGGCTTTGAGGTGTGCAAAATTAGGCCACGAGCAAACTGTTGCATTAACATGCCAATGTCCTTCCTTCAAAATGCAGTTATTACCCTGCCAAATAGACACCTGAGACTTGAAATTGTATGTATTCTAATGCAGAGGTTTCCAGTCATCATTTCCATGGTGCTGGAGTATCCTTATCTTGCATATTTTGTTATTTTTCCTTGCTCAAATACATCCAATTTAACTAACTGTCCATTAGTTACATCAAATGAAGCAATTCACAAAATGTATTATCTGATACGATACAATGTTCTCTCATTTCGATAGAGCAAAAATAAAGAGTGGCTGAAAATGTGCCTGATGTTAAAATATTAAAGTTTCCATTTTCAGTTTAAACATTCAACGTTCTAAAAACACAATATTTAAAACAAAAGCTGTGCTTGACAGTGTCCCGATCTAATGCTCTAGCTTAGGGGTCGGCAACACACGACTCTGTAGCCGCTCTTTTACTGCCCTGTTGCGGCTCCCGAGCAGAATTAGAATAATTAATTAGAATAAAATAATCCTCCTCTGCAGTAAAATTAAACTCTGCTGATCGTTCTAACACACCGATCTAACATGGTTTTAACTATAAATGGTCTTAAACACTGGAGTTATATGTATAACTGCTTATATTCACCCTTTAACCACGGAGATTGGCACACAGACTGCTGGTCACACAGCGACACCAACAAGAATCTCACCTAGCTAGCAGCTAATGAAAAGGCAAAGATTTAAGACGAACCTCAATACTTTGGAGATAAATTGACTTATTTGCATTCATAAGCACTCCAGTTGGTTTCCTGATATGTTTAATCTGCAACAAGATTGCAACTTTCAAACACAAAAAAGTTGTGAAGTTAAAGTGAGCTTCTCACTCGCCAGCTTCTTGTTTGAATTTTCACGTTCCACCTTAAATGGTGCAACAGTTAGCTTGGTTACATAGTTAGCTACATTCTGGCACCTCAGGCACCATTTAAAGGTGAACGGGAATATTCGACCAAGAAGCTGGCGAGCGAGAAGCTGACTATTTTACTTTGTTGCCGCTGTGGCTTAAAGGGAAAATCCACTGATTTTTCAAAATGTTTGTATAATTAAATCGCTGAGATGTAAACAATGTCATACAAAGTGTTTTGATGTGAAATTCTCCATTCTATAAAAACTTACAAATTGGATTTCTTCACAGTGGTGGTGGTAGGAACCAGAGGTCACCATGTCTACAACACAAATTTAGCAATGTTCTGCGTGTACCTCTCTGACATGCATGAATTAAAAAAAGATCTCAAAGACAATTTTTTAGGCTTTAGATTGTGTATTCATAACCATTTCATGTAATAGCTTTCTATATGGTAGCTTTTAGAGATATTAAACTCTTTGGATGTCTGGTTCCTATCACCACCACTGAGAAGAATTCTGACTAGAGAAGTTTCTGTAGAACAAAGCATTTCAAGTCAAAGCATGACGTTTTACATCATAAACATTACATCGTAAACAATAAATTTGGCAGAAAAACGGAAAAATTGGTGGAATACCTCTTCAATAAGTTCAAATTAGAGTTTACACTCTGTGCTAATCAATTATAGGCAGGTTGGAAAGGACAATGAATTTGCCATAATGCTAATGTTAGCTTGATTACATGACAAAAAAAAACTACACCCGATCTATCTATCTAATAATGGGACGTAATAAACATACTGTTTGTATAAAATTTTCACATAAACTGAGTTGTATGCTACAATTTGAATAGGACTTTTGCCAAAGTTCTTCAAAACAAGTCCACCCTCGGATTAGGTTGCTAATGCATGTGTGGGCACAGCATAAAAACATCAATTAACAAGCCTTTCCTGAGCTGAAGTGGGTGTGTTGGAACAGGGAAAACACCTAAACCTGCAGGGCAGGGACTCAGGAACCAGGCTTAGGAAGCGCTGTTTTAATGTATGGGATTTGTTCAGTAACATGGTTGAAACTTTTCCTCAGATAAAGAGCAATTCAGATCTTTAATACGTGCAGAAAACCCTGATGTTTCAGCTACTGCTATTTTTATCTGCTCAACATCTGCGAGATCAAAAGCATGACGATGAAAATGCTGGGGGGTGGATGAAGTTCAGACAAAACAAAAAAGCACTCACATGTGGCACACACGCTCCAGGAAGTGGCTGACCAGCTTCTCATGCTTGCTGCACAGGTCTCTCTGGAATGTGGTCTTCATCCAGTCTTCTATGTTGCACACTTTGACCCTGCTGGAATGCCAGCATATACTGAGGTGTCTGAGCGACGGGCCCAGGATGTAGTTATTCCTCTTCAGCTCGCATGGGGAGAAAAAGTGGAGCAGAGACCACAGCCGGGGGTCCAGGAAGGCTTCTCTGAGATGAATGCAGGTTAGGGACAGGTTCCTCCGACTGTCTTTGTCCAGGAAAGAGAAGAGATGTAGCAGGCACTCTTGGTTGAGATCAGTCAGATGCATCATAAAGAGAATAAGAGAGAAGGGAAAAGAAAAAGCTTAAATGGGTCTCTTTAACTCAGGCTGAGATTTGGCCTGTTGACACACTTGCACATACACACATGCACACCCACACATTGAGCAACAGCAGCAGCAATGAGCCTGCAGTCTGCTCTGCATAGCCTGGATACATGATTCCTTCCCCGGCTCTTCCTCATGCACAGTAGCCCTGCACATATAAGGTCGTAAAGAATGGGAGTTATTTTGAGAGGACAACAGCAGGCACGGTCAAAAATGGAAATGTGTAAAAGCGTTTGCACACACACACACACGGTGCTGCTCCATCTGTCTCTCCTGCCTGGGCCGGACTCAGGCAGATGTTTGGACGGCAGCGGCTTGTGTTTATCACTCACAGTAGAGGCTTTTTATCAAGAGAGGGCTTTCAAATTCTCACACTAAGGAGGTGAGTGAAAGATATAAGGTGGGTAAGCTCTACACCAGTCAAAACATTTTTTTCTTATGGCTGCCTGTTATAAACTGATCTAGTAGTAGTATATCTTTAGTGTGCTTATCTTAGGAAATTCCATGCAAAAGTCAGAAATCACCCTTTCATTTATTTAATTTCTACTCAAAACCACCATTAAGTACAAGTTATTCATTTTTCAGGAGATATTTCTGAAGAGATTAGATGTAAGACAATCCACTTGCATGGATTGGAAGTGGAAGGGGAATGTCTGCAGAAAATAAGTGAGTTTTGGAGTTTTCTAAAAAATATTGCCTAAGGATATGGAGAAAATTGGCCTCCTAACAACAGTGCTTAAAACAGTACTTTAAGCTTTCATCTTTGAGAAATTAGAGAAAATCACTCTTGCTTTAGAACTAAAAAAACACGTGTTTCTGTCCATCCTTCCACTGTGAGAAAACAACTCAGTGCTGTGTTTGACGTTTGCAAATTAAAAGAAGCAGCTGGTGTTCCCAAAACAATGCAATGACCACCCCAGAGTCCAGACCTCGACATCACTGAATGTGGGTGATTACTTGGATTTTGAGAAGCAGCAAATGCAACCAACTTGTAAGACTGAACTTTGGAGGTGTTAAAAAAATATGCCTGTAGATTTCTTTGAAAAACTGAAAGTAAGTCTCCTGAAAAGAATGGAGGCTGTAATAAAGACAAAGGTTGGTCACACTTAATACTTAAAAATGTTGAAATATTTTGTTGTTGAGACTTCTGTTTAATTATCCGTTAAATATATGTTTTCAGTTTTTTGTTTTTTGTTTGTTTTCCCCAGATGCTGAAAAATTAATAACTTTTACTTAATGGCCATTTTGACTGGAAAATAAGTAAATGAAGGGAGATCTGTGACTTTTGCACAGTACTGTAGTTTAAAAAGGGCAGGACACATAACAACAAACACTACAGTTCAAAAGTTTGAAATCACTGACTTCAATAATATAAATGATATATGATGCTAATATTTTGCCAGTGCTTTTCAAACATTTTGTAGGAAGCTGTGAAAAATCAAGACATTCTTGATGATGAATGGAACTATAGGTTTAAATGCTATAAATAGACAATTACAGGTTTTCATTTAGGTTTGTTTGTTTTGTTTTTTGGTTTTGTTTTTTGGCTATGTCATACCTTTTTGTTTTTCTCAAAAAAATTTACATTGTAAATAAGCCATCACATTGTTTTACTGTGTAGGTTATAACATTTCAATCTACACTGAAAAAGATGTTATTGAAAACAGTTAGTAATATAACAAGTAATTCCAAACTTTTGACCTGTAATATCACTGTAATATCAAAACCTTGTATCTCTGAAATAAAAATAGGAAGAAGTAGTTCTTACTTTAATGGACATCTTCAAATGTAAAAATAAAAAAAAATGGCCAAGATATAATGATGATATACATGATATAAAAACATGTGAAACAATTCACACAGCCTTCTTTCAGTTTAACACAGACAGCATCAATAGTCCTCAAATTAACATCCTCACAAACAGAAACAACAGCTGCCCTGTACAGTGGAAACATGCTGCTGAGTTGTGGTCAGATGTGTGAGACAGCGTGGGTTAACTTTAGCTGAAATGACACCAGTTTAGAACGGTCCCCTAATCACAGTATAATCACTATAATCTCTACACAGTGCATTATGGGTACTCTGTGTCTGCTAGAGCACACCATTTGTACATTGCTCATTGTGGTGCATTATGGGATTGTAAAAGTGCCCTGGATATCCTTGTCTGGTTTTGGACGCTACAGAATGGCTGCCTGTCAGTATAGTGCACTGTGTGAGCAGGGCACAGTTATCCTGCTTTTATCTGTGCTAAAGCAATACATACATATGTATAATATACCTGTTATTTATAATATATACTGTTACATTTATTTAAGTCTGGTAAATTCTAAAATGTTAAATTGGTTTTAAAGTCAGAAATCATATTCCTGTTGACAATAGAACAAGATGCCCTGGAGCCGAAGGTCACCAGCACCAATGCCAAGCGTGGGCTAGAGGGGTATGATGTTCCCCAGTATTGAGCTGTGGAGCAGTGGAAGTTCTCTAGAGTGATGGAGCACCAATACCTTTAGGATGAGTTGGAGTGGTGTTTGTGATCCAAAACTAACATTCAGCATCAATACCTGATCTCACTAGTGCTCGTGCTGCTGAATGCTATCTGATTCCTTACAGCAATATTCCCTGAAGAGTAGAGACAGTGACTGCAACAGAGAGGGACAAACTCCTTTTTAACACTTTTGATTTTGGAGGAAACATTGGATGAGCAGGTGCCTGCAAACTTTTGGCCATGATGTGTATATTCAGTATTAAGTGTATCCAGTCTTTATTACAGCTTTCATTATTTTATTGTATTTTTCAACAAAAAAAGGCAAAGATATTTTTTCACTGCTCCAAAGTTCAGTTTTAGAAGTTCAATTTTCTACTTCTCATGACCCAAGTAATGCCAAACACCTTCAGTGACGTTGAGATCTGGACTCTGTGGTGGTCAGTCCATTGTACTGAGAACATCAGCAGCTTCTCGCGACTGAGTTGCAAATGTTCTTCCTTTTTGTGTTAAGTGTGAAGTCTATTGTAAGTTTTTATTCCATTAAGCAAGAAATTAAGTGAATTTTTTCAGTAGTTTTTTTCTTAAGTACATAGATTGTTGTAACCCGTTTGCTTTGACTTTATCTAACAATCTATCTATCTTTGCACATGTACATCTGATAGGCCATTCAAGGGTGGCAAAAAACCCTTACATTGTATAGATTGGTCATGAAAGAACACAGTGTATGTCACTGTGACCTCTCAGACTCATCTGATATCATTAGGTGCACTGGTACGTGCCACACAGGCCTTGACGAAGCATTCCCCGGGAGAAGTGAGATTACAGCCTGTACCCTGTGACTCATTCTCACTGAGTCATGACGCGCTGAGGCAACGACTGAAGCGGCAGCACACACTCGAACACAGGGCAACGTGAGCTTATCGGCAAGCAGCTCGGGGGAGGGGGGTGGGGAGAGAAAGAAAGGAGACGGAGGGAAGGAGCGGGAGGGAGCGAGAGAGACGAGGGTGGCAGCGGCTCAAGTTGTGTACTTAATGAGGATAGTGTTGCAGCGGACACCTGTGTGCGCGAATGGAAAGAGAGAGAGAGATCGAGAGAGAAGAGCGCATAAGCTACACTGAGCAGCTGTTCCTCCTCATAACACAGGAGGGCCTGTTCCTCCAGCCTGTCAGGGAGGCTGCCTTAGCGGCACGTGAGCTGAGGAGCTCCTGTGTTTGTTCTGGCCCTGAGAGAGGTCTCTGTGTGTGTGCGTGCGTGTGTATATGTGGGCGGGTAGCAGCGTTTGATATGAAAAAAGAAAAACGAGCATAAAAAAATCAAACAAAGCAATTGGTTTAAGGTTCAAGCGCGTCCCAAAGCTGCTGCTTTGAGAGGTTTACATCATCAAAGCTGCCCTTCAATACTAGCACTATGGAAATTAGCCCCGCCTTCAGAAACAAAAAGGGGAGAAACAGTCTGTACCTGCCCCTGTCTGTTACATGAGAAATGTGTTCCGTGTGAAAGTGGAGCACGGGGTTTGGTCAGAGAAAGCGCTCGCGTGAGCTCACTGTGCACATCCTGAAGACTCACCCACGCGCGCACGGTTTGGAACATCAAGTACTGTTTTGGCGACTGAAACAACGTCCACCCTTTATGACGACACTGAAGACTGGTGTAACAATGGAACGTCAAAGAACTTTAACCCTACAGGCACACAGCCCTTTACAACTGTCTATACAGCGGTTACTCACCCTACTTTAAAAACCGGTAGTTTATTCAGTTTATAAACAGACGTGGGTAGAAATTAGTTACATGTTTTTAAGTAAAGTTTTGATGGATTTGTATTTTCCTGAGTATTTTCAAATGATAACTCAAGTATATGCGTTTGATAAGGAATCTTTCTACTCGGACACATTTTAGAGATTAATATTTAGTTACTGATTGTTTATGTCTACCTTACGTTGGTTCTGCATCTGCACTTTTGAGTTATCATTTTAGTTTTAGACCAACTGTGCACCTATATGAGCGGAGTAGCGCCTAACAGCCCTCAGTCCCTATATGCTGATAAATGCTGGATGTCAGGGCAGTTTCTTAACATTTGTGGGTGCTAAGCGATATCTCACTTGAGTGACCCCACCTATCACAATTGTACTATTTTGAATGAAATAAAAGGAACAATAATTAATACTTCATTAATAAAAATTTTAAAAAGCTAAAGCACCCTGAATGTGCCAAAAACTCCACAGCAGCCTTAAGCTACTCAGTTCTCAATTAGATGCTGACCTGGAACTGGGACCTTTGTACTAATTTTCCCCGGAAAAAAGTATGTTTCCTTTTCATCGAATCATTTCCTTGAACTAAGAAAGCTTTTACTTGAGTATGGGTTTAGGCTGTCATTGCACTTCCTCACAAATTGCTACAAATTACACTTCACCACAATTTTACACAATCATATAATTTTAAGAACACTGGGAAGGAAACAGTTGGAGGGAACAGGATTACGCTGACTCACTTATCAAGATCCATGTTAGTGAGTTAGATCAGACACAATTTCGTAATAGTGTAAGGGAATGACTTTCTGATTCATGCTTGGCAAGACAAGAAGCAACAAATCTACAGCAGAAATAAAATGCATGAGTGAGAAAGATTCATAGAACCCTTTAAGTTAAAGCCTAACTGGAGATCAAATGTTCCCAACCAAGGTCTTGGGGTCTCCCCAACAATTTTTGCTCTTTCACTGCCAATATGACTGAACCCAACATTCAAGAACACTGAATGCTTTGTACAGTTGTGCTGGGAGCAGGAATGAAGTGACTGTCCGAAGGTCTCCAAGGTCTGGGTTGGGAAATGCTGTAGATCATATCAAGGCATTAAACTAATTCAGATAATAAACAGATGAATTCAGATAATCGCCAACATTTCGATACACTAAGTTTAAAAAAAAAAATAAATAAAAAATTGCCCAAGTTTTGATCAGCTGGCATCTCTTTTTTTCTGTAAGTGACAGCATGAAATGAGTGCTCACATGTCATTATGGTAGCATCAGGTTTTAAATCATGGTCTATGCTTTCTTTCAGTAAAACAGTATAAATAAACAAACAAACAAAACAAACAAACAAAACAAACAAACAAACAAACAATGTCCAAGCATGAAGAACCCAACACTTCAAGGACTAGCAGAGCTTCACTTTAAAAGTCCTTTTCACATTTTTGAGGTGGAGCTATGCGTGAGAGTAAACTAGTTGTGTGCCATAAAAAAGGATTTACTTTGAATGCAAATTAGGCTCTTTCAAGTTTCAGTGTAGAAATGTCTCTATACCAACAAACAGCAATAACAACATTTGAGGCTGAAATACTGATAATTTACATAAATGCTCTTTTGTGGAACCCAACTGACCTGATTAAACAGGTGGCCAGTGTCTAAAAGAGAGACATGACTGCCGCAATCACTAGCAGAGCAAAAAAGAAAAATAAAATCCCAACATTCCTGATTTCACCATTTACGACACTTCATTGCTCCAACATTTCACCTGACTGCCTTTTAGTATGAACAAAGCATTCTCCCCACCAATATGACAACCTCCTTTGGACTCTTTACTAAGCAAAAGGAATGTTTTCAAAAAAAGAAAAAATAAAAACAGCAGCAATTAGGTTTTACTGAGGTTTTTTCTGTTGTTGGTATGAGTGAAATGCCAACTGAAGCTGAACATGGAACTGTGTGCAAGAGAGGTGGGCTATTATTTTGAAGGCTTCTTGGTACAGTAAGGCTGATTAAAGCTTGGGCTCAGTCTCTGAGGCCATCCTGTCTTGCTCTGTCCGCTCAGTGTAGAAGAGGATATAAGCCTTAGCTTTGGCCACCGTCTGCTCACTGACCAGAGTCACAGTGCTGTCGTTGAAGTGATACCAGCGGCCTTCATGATGCCCATATGCCGTGTAATGACCTGATCCCACCCTGCAGCAGACAGAACAACAGAAATACTTATGGTTAGCACTAGCACAGTGCTACAGTAGCCTGTAGAAAGATAAATGCAAGAAGAAAGAAAGTAATAGGGAGAGTGGATAGTGGCCAAAGCCTAATGATGCAGTATCTCCACCTACTGGTGAGATTAGGGATTAGCGAAGTGCATGCAGGGCAAATCTTCCTCAATTAACTTTACAGGAATGGCATAATATCCTGTGAGGAATACACTTCTTACAGATAAGAGTTTGAACTTGCATACAAAATATTATATATACACACACAATACAACAAAATAGACTTATGCTCACCCAGATCCATGATGCACCACTACTGCAGCAAGGTCATACAGGCAGCTTTCAGGAAGACTGTTTTCAGGCTGAAAACACAAAAACACAGATTGAACTTAATGATGCACATTTAAGTGAATTAAGATTGAAGTTAAAGACAGATAACATGTTTAGCTCTCACCTCCAGTAAATAGCGCTTCATGTCAAGGCCTCGCAGTGGGAACTCCACATAGGTATCCACCTTGTTCCTCAGAAAAGCTGTCCAATGAAACCTCTTTAGGTGCAAACACAAGACCTGCAATAAAATAAAGAGCATAAATCACAAAGTATAAAAATGTTACATTTCCAATCAGCTGGGTTTTAAAGCATTGGAGCACAGGTCTCTACCTTAGGCAGTTTCTGGATCCAGAATTTTTTTGTGGACTTCTGTCTCTTTTTACATTTATGGCACATGTACAGCTCTGTTTCATCAAGCTCCTCCAGGTCAGTGAAACTAGAAAGGCAGTCTGAGGAACACAAACCCAGCACACATAAACTGTGCTTTAGTCACAACACAGCCCACCATTCCCCAAAGGTCTATTAATGTTTCTATAGCATCCAACAAGATGCACTTACTGTGCAGGTTGCAGGTTGGCCCTGGCTCTTGGTCCTTAGTTCGTTTCACTCGAAACTGGCTAGGAATGTCCAAAGAGAGGTCTGGAGGACAGGCATTTAATTCATCAAGAGTTCTTCAAAATTATACAGAGGAGACAAGTTGGAAAAGGGCTCACCTAAAAATGGGTCAAACTTCCTTGACTCTGTGCCACATATCAAACAGTTGACTTCATTCTGCAGCACTCCGCCAAATACAGAGGTGACTACTGTGGGGGTCCCATTACTGAAAGGAAGAAAAAGAAACGGGCACACTCAGTTTGAACCACATCTCCATCCCTCTCTCTCTCTCTCTACCTACAGCTGTATGCAAAAATTTGGACACCACTTTCCAAATTACATATTTTATCGCTTTCTGCAGATGTTACTGTGCAGGTACTTTATATTTAACTTAAATTAAAAATAGGATGAAAGTGTCATTTTTTTGGCATAATTTGAAAATACCTGTTGCCCATTTCATTGTGGGTAAATTTAATGATGAACGGACCTAAAGTAATGTCCCAAAATGACTTGCATTAAAAGTCAAGTAGTCTCTTCCTTTTCCTGTAAAGTTTCCATTTTGGAGATAAAAGGTTTTCTTCTGACAACAGCGATATACATACATACGTAACATACATATATATATATATAAAAATGTGTGTGTGTAGCACAATGCTACTTAAACTTTTCTTCATAAAAAACATTTCCCTAGAATCTGCATTTTGTAAGGTATGTCTACCCCATCAATTCCGTCGCTCACTGCCTCTCTTTCAGAACAGGCTTACTCTGCTGTATTGGTCCATACAACCCAATGAACACGCCACAACACAGCACCACTGTTTCAATACACCCAACAAATCCACTTAGGCTGCCTCTCGGACTGCAGTAGGCTTCATTCGTTCAGTGTGTCTAATGCAGGCCTGGTAATATAATCACAACAGGATGGCTCTACTTCCAGCAGCGGGTTTTGTAAGAACAGCAGTCTGTATGCAGGCCAGGGACTGCCTTCTATGCAGTGCAGAGTTAACATTAAAGTTATTAATGCAGGAATAAATGCACTAAATTACTAGAAGACAGTAAACGAGGGGCGTCCCGCTGAGTGAGACTTTAATCTGTGGTTCTCCTCTAACCCATCTGGGCACTGCCATGCAGAGAAATATGCATACTTTATTACAGCACTACATGGAACTGATGTTCTGGAATTGAATGTAACTTCTTATTACCCATTACATTCCTTAAAAATTCTTCAAATTAGAATGGGTGGCTGGCCAGGGCCTACAAAATAAAAAACACTGTGTATGTGTGCTGAGGACTTACATGCAGCATTTGCTTTCTGAGGTAAGGTTTGGCCTGTCTGAAAGTAGGCTGGGGCCAGGTAGTCCGTTCTTACTGCCCTGCAGCTCTCTGTGCAGGTGATCCAGCAGGTACCGCAAGAACTCATGAGCATCCTGCTGCTGGTAACCCCTACAAAATATATAGTACAGCAGGTTTGGGTTTTCAGCAAGTTTAGGTTTTCAGCAAGTGTAGGATCCATTCGAAATCAGTAAAACTAATTCAGTTCATTAACCAAAATTTAAAACAAAGTAATATAAAGGGACCTTGTATACATTCATGTAAATTCAAATTTACACGTTGTTAACTAAGTGGTACATGAATTCATTTAAAAATCCTTTACAGATAAGAATGTTTACTAAAAAGGAAAAAAATAAAATCTTTACAAATTATCATACTGAAAATAATTTGTGCACAGAGTGAACTGAAGTGAGCTCAATCAATGGAAGTAAAATGATCTTTTTAAAAACATACTGGAGCCTAAACTGTATTTGGAAAAACATGTACCACATTCCAGTTAATACTAACTCAGCTACTAGCTTCCAGTAAAACTCAGCGTTGTGGGATAGCTCTATGGTCTTCTCAAATATGTTTGACATCAATGACGTTAAAAACTGAAAGACAGTGAAATTGAGGCATTTGTTTCTCAACTCTCAGAGGGCAAAACCAACCAAATAGGCAAAGCCTAAACAGAGTTTGAGAAATACTATTGCACTATAGCGTAACTCCTAGAGTCAAAGGCAGACAAAGGAGCCTAAAGTAGTGCAGATCATTTACAAGAAAACCAGTCACGTTACCTGAAACTTGGCATTATTTTCCAGATGACATAGAACAGAGCATCTGGGCTGAAGGCAGTCTGATTCCCTTGCCAAAGGGAACACAGGGTTTTCCTGAGCTCCTCTACCAGGGACCTGTCAACAATCACAGAACCTGTACTGTCAGTTCAGGATGAAATCACAGGCAACTGAAAAACTCTTGCTTTTCCACAACACAAGCACCCATATCACCACACTCTCTGCGAGTCGTATTCAAAATGCATTTTTACCGCATTATTCTACTTAAATGGGACTACACGAGCAGTAAGTGTTGCAACTGGTGATGTTTATGGTTAGTCAAAAAAAGACTTATTTAGAGTTGTTGACATTGCTTCATATTCGTATGATTTCACACGGTTGCTGCATTCTGAGCACAGGAGATGCCCTGGGGCTGACAGTCCCACTGGTGTATGTGAGCCCTCCAGCCTGCAAAAGGCTAAAGGCATGCTCAGGGGGTATGACTGCATTATCTACTATACTGTTGACTCATTCAACTAACTACTGCAACCAATACAGGCAACAATCTACTAGCGATCTATGCATGATATGTTGAGCAATGCCAGCAAAATACCAGACAAAACTAGCATATGTGAACCAAGTAGTCTAGATATGTCTCAAAAGTTCTGCAAAGACATCTTGTTTTGACACATTTGGCTGTGCGATTAAACAGGCAGACTAACTTGTTGAATGCTCCATGTGAGAAGAAACAACAGATAAAGACGACCAGTTCTATAGCTATGACTTTGTTTGACCAAACAATACTGCCATTATTAAAACTTAACGGCAAGATTGACCACCCCCTCCCCATCCACTAGAGAGGACCTTACACACTGCTGTCCCCCTGGCTTCTGGTGTGGTACATTCTTCTTCCTGCAGTTTTCCCGCTCCGCAGCGCCACTGCTGGCAATTCTTTAAAGTAGCAACTGAATTCCGGAATGTTACTGGGGGAAAAATAGGATAAAATTAATCTTTCGACCAACAGAGAAAGTTCAACATGTTAGCAAAGACAGAGCCAAAACTTATTGACTTCTAGGCTTTGGGTATTTATTCCTTTTAGACAACAGCTTAAAAGAATGTCCAGAAGATGCCAATTACCATTAAAGCTTTGGCAGAGTTTAGTTTTCCATGGATTAGGGAGAGAGAGAGGGAGCCAACAGAAGTATTTAGTGCAGATTTAGTGTTCTTTCACAGACATAGGTCCAGATTCAGAACAGTACAGGCTGTTATATAGCACTCTGCTGTCAAGGCAAAAAGACACTGTGCTACAAATAGCCTACAATTTGCTACTATATTTTGTCATTCGATTACATAGAATTACAGATTTTGCAGACTTAGTAGGTAGAACTTTATCAAATAAAGTGAAGGCACATTTAATCCAAGGGACAATTTTGCCCAGCTGATGGAAGCTGATGTCCAGCTTTTAGCTTGAACTGAATGATTGATGTGAACTCTGGCTTATTCCACTGGTGTGGTTTAACAGTCAGGTCAGCTAGTGCAAGTCTGGCTGTGGTCAGCAGGCAGTCAGCCCAATGCTTCTGGCTGCTAACCAGAATCCATTACTGGCAGCTGACCGGCCAGGGGCTGTGCTCTCCATTTGCACAGCTCAGCTCCTCTCAGCGGCTCCACAAGGGACCACGGTGCATTCCAAGCCCAGCAAGCAAGGCCACCCACACCCTCCTCACCTCGCCACACATGACTTGGTGCCCAGGGCACAGGACCTGGAGAAGCCCTTACCTGAGGGACTGGAGGATGGCATTCATAAAACATGTGTTTCCCAGGTTGCGCAGACCAGTGGCAGACAAAGCTGGAGGGCCACCCTAAAAGAACAAAAAGTGTAAAAAATTTTTATAATTTATAACATAATTCATTTTAGAATTGCTGAATAAATCACTAACAAATGCATTAGGCATACTTTAGGCACACACTAAAAATGTTTTTGCTCTTATTGCAAAATCATCTTGCAAAACAATTTTGGCTGTATTTATTAAATACATAGCAAATTAAGTGGTCTGACAAAGTACAGTCTGCTGAAGCATTTTGAGCAGGGTTTCACTTTTCCCTTTACAGAGCTTAATAAAGTGGTTACATAAGGGCGAAGACGCATCATTTCTGCCAGAGCGCCTAGCAGCCCAGCCAAGAGCAGTCAATGTCCCTAACTGACTCACTGGCTGACTCACTGACTCCTTTGTTGAAATGTGCTTGAGTGAGAATTGTTTCAAAAGATGCTGTGCAAAGTACAGGTGCCAGTTTGGGGGTCAACAAGATCAATAATACTGCTTTTGCTGTTGCTCCAACAATTGCAAAGGAAAAGTGGATTAATATTTCAACATAATAATCCAGCATATTGGGCAACCACTGTTACCAAAAAAAATCAAGAGTGGGGTATACTTGAGTAATTGTACTTTGTTCTTGTACCTACACATTGAATAGAAGGATTTGTATTTTATTTATGTATTGTTGAAACAGCTTTACGGAAGTACATTTCCAAGAGAAGAAAACACTCATTAAACTTTAATTTAGACTTTCACAGTACTTGTTGCAAATCTCAAAGGAAATAAGATGATTTTTCATCTTTGTGCAAGAACCAGTACCATTCATTAGTTATCACACACAGAGTTTGCTGAAAAAGGTTAAGGCATCGCAGGGTATCTAGTTTGTCTTTCACAGAGTGTGATCAGGTCAGGCCTAGCATTAAAGTTACTTTAACGTTAAAAAAAATCCTGGTCTCTTAATGCTATATATTACACCACTTACTTCTTTTTATAAATACTTTAACGTACTTAAAAGTTGACACTTTAAATTTTTACTCAAGTATTTATTTGGCTCCAGACTTTCATCTATAATTAAGCAAGAAACAATCAACACAGTACCTGTACTATCACTATTTCTCTGTACTTTTTTACAGTCTTTCAATAATCAATCACAGATAGCTAGGTACATGGATGGATAATATCCAAAAACAACACTTTCCTCCAACATTAGCTCTTACAGCTAGCTAACACTATTCTGATTGTAAAGTTTGGAACACAAAGTAGCATAATGTGAGCTGAAATAGGTCTGACCTCCAATTTGCCACTCTAAAAGCAACGGAAAAAAGCATAGTCTTGTATCCAAAACACATTTTAGCAATGCATTTGGGTCCATTTACCATCCACATCATTCAAACATCACTCGCAACCCAACCAAATAAATTGTATCATTCCTTCTTTATCCATAATGTTAAGACAGTTAAATTAAGCAGTTTAAGATAAACGTTTTCAAAGATCATCTCTCTCATTTTTGGAGCAGCGACTTACACCATCCTCTGGCATCTTGTCAGGAGAGGCACTACCAGAGAGCTTTCTTTTTCTCTGTCTGTCAGCATTCATCACAGAGCTGAAACAGAGACAATCAGTGTGTTATTTGTTGAACATTAGCATAATTAAGTAAGTCCAAGCACAAACTTCATGAATTTTTTTACCCATCCGTATTCAGCCTACAAGTTACACAACAAGCTAGAGTCAAAGAAAAAGCCTGCAGTCAAAAACCTGATTCAGAAGACTTCAGACAGTGAGAGCGCAGTAAATCACACAAGTACAATGAACAAGCTGTATCTGCACTTTCTAATAAATCAAAATGTATAAAATAGTGGACTTGTATTTAATAAATTATATGAGAGTGCATTAAACTCTACCACGCTTTATAATTAATGTTTGTTCAAAATACTTCAAGTAATCACCGCGTGGCAGCGCACCGTCTCTTTAACAAGAACCATCAGTACTCACTTTTCTAAACTCTGAAGGTGCTCTCTCACCCGCTGCACCTGGCCCAGTTTGGTGTCATTGACCACAAAGTCATCACATCGGTAACTGAAAAGTGTTCAATTGAAGGTCATGATGACAACACCACATGCATAACTCAAATATTTTTAGAATTTTATAAATTTACCATTCTATTATTCTGTAATTTTAGGAAGTTCAAGTGAAATGACACAAACCAGAATGTGCTATAGCTGCTGCAGTCCATACACACAGAGTGCTGCTGAAACTTCTCCTTCTCTGGTTTTCTCTGACCACTTGTTGGACTCTGAATCTCCTCAAAATGTTTCTTTGCATGGCCATTGACATATCTTACAAAAGAGAGAAATTGATTCACATAACATATTTATGATTACTAGAATTAAATGTTACATGTTTATATTGCTGTTGTTTTGTGTCATGCATCACACTCATCACTGTGCTGTAAATACTGTGTGAATAATGTGTATAAGAGCACACACAAGGGCTCAATAGGTTACCAGTGAGTGAATATAAGCAAACACTTACCTTCCACAATGCACATTCAGGCAGGTGAGGCAAACCCAGGGACTTTTGTTTGACCGGCAAACTAAATAATTGAAAAAGACACGTCTTAGAATCACGGTAAGCAGGGCTTGATTTGAAAGGGGATACAAAAGGGATAATACCATCTTCCCCAGCGCACCCCCCCCCCTTCAAAAAAAGAAAAAGGAAAACAGATTAATAAAAATAGCCCCACTGCAAAACAATGTTTGTTAGATCATCTCAGATGTGCACTTGCGACATTCATATTTGTGATTTATACGCTGAATTGCGCCCCCACACGAATGCAGCTTGTGTTAATCGTTTAGACTCTGGCATAATATTGAAATGTTGGGAAAAAAAAGTGTAAACCTAAAAGCAATTTCTGGTCCGTTTCATGCACATAATTTATCATCCCCCACCGATGCTCTAATATTTGATTTAACTTTTAACGCCCATGTAATTCCATATAAACCTCATGAGACTCGTCAGCGTGAACACGTTACAAAAATAAAATCAAAAACTAGAGCAGCGAGATAATCATAGATAAAGAACCACTTCACTGAAACTGAAAACAAACAAACAAAAACCGTTCATTTAGCCGCAGTGACCAGCTGGCTAACAAGGCACATATAACGTTAGCTACATAAGCTAGCATAGCTTAGCCTAGCTTAGCTTAGCCCACATTTTAAACGGTGAAGCTTCAGCTAGCTAGTAACCAGACAGTTAGATATACAGCTGCATAATATTACTGCAGTAAAAAGCTGGTTCACAAGATATTGTGTTTTAACCCGGCAGTTCAGAACGAGTGCAACTCACCGCTACAGCACCATGAAGAGGGCGAACCGCTGGGGAACCGAGCGGGGTCCACCGCCACACACAGGTTGGAGCTGAGGTGAGGACACTCCATCAGAAAGACAGACAGACAGGCGGACAGACGACCACACGGCCACTACTGTACCACACTAACCACAGAACAACTTTGCCGCCCAGCACTGTCCCTGTTGACTGGTTCACCGAGAAACTCGATGTAAAACCTGTCAATAAAACAGAGAATAACACGCCAGTTGAGCTAGCTAACCTAGCTGAGCTAGCTAAGCTGACTAGACCGGTGAGCTAAGGCGTTAGCGCTGCTAAGATGAAGCTGTTTTTAGCTGCATGCTCAGAAACAGCTAACACACACACACAAACCTGCCGCTGAAGCGCCTCCGTTTAAACGCGCTCTCGGTCTTTTTCGACTCTGGGAGGAATATAACGGGTCGGGTCAGAGTTTGCTCGGCGCTGCTGCGGCTGTGTCTAAGTGGTAAACTAAGCGGAGAGAGCGGCTCTGGAGGAAGTGGGCACGCAGCGCTAGCAGATGACGTCGAAGGGTCAGTGGGGTCGCAGAGTTTGGGAGCGAGATAAATAAGCGACATGAAAGAAAGACGACTTTATAAGCCACCGACCATTTCTCGACAGATAAGACAGCAAATGGGCGAAAAATGTTCATTATCAGGTGTATGCGGCGTGTGACTACACGCAGCTAACTTAAACGTTTGGATCCGGTACTACTGTAAGGTTTCACCATATAGGACCTGGTAGTGTAACCTTTTGTACAAATGATCTGAAATATGTAACATGCTAGACAAGAAGCCTAAGTCGGTTTCTTAATCGCCGGTTTCTTTTTAAATTTTCCGTTCCGCCTTAAATTGTGCAGCTCATTCTTGCGCCTTTAGCAGAGAGTAAACGGTGCGGCTGGTTCGCTCGGGTACAGATACAAGAACGTATAAGCGCTGCACCGTTTAAGGTGGAACGGAAAATTCGAAAAAGAAGCCGGTGGTTAAGAAAACTTCAGCCTCACTGTTAGATGTATTTGAAATTAGAGATTTCTTTTAACGCTATGATATTTAAAACCAACTTCAGCGATGCCTTTTATGCGCAGTATAAACACTGTCAATAGTTTGACTAAAGTTTTAACATGGAAAACCATGTTAAAATAATAAATATGTCTTTATACTGTAATTGGCTCAAGGAATAATGACCTTGTAAGATTCAAAAAGTTAAGGGAACACAATTTGATCTTATTTATTGTCTTTATTTATCACTTCTTTTAGTCATTATTGCAATCATATCATATTCTTAAGTCTTTTACAAAAGATTGTTAAAAAAAAACAAACAAACATCCAAGTCTTGTAAATTCCATTTACTGAATGGTAAACTTAAGTCACTCACTTTCCCTATTCATTTCCATTAAAAATAATATTGCTGCGATTAGAAATTATTTTAGAGTGAGTAGTCTACGGAAGAACTGTAATATGAAAACTACAGATTACAAGAAAGCATTAACTGGAATTAGAAAAAAATAATGCTGTAAAAATAAAACATTCTCTCCCTACAACATGGATTTTTCAGAGTGAAGGTGGCTGTAGGGGAAGTGAGTGAAGGCTTTCTAAAGTGAAACTGAAGAGTCTGTAAGGAACTGTTGATACCTTCTATAAAACAAAGTAAAATAAGTCACTATCAAATAGATAGACTGGTGATGGTATAAGTAGCTAAAACTGAACAATATGACCTCTAAAAATTAAATGCCATGAGAAGAGTGATGTTAACAATAAAATAACCTTAATCTCTTAGTTCATCAGCTTTCATCTCTTTGTCTATGCATATCTTGAAGGTCTTTTGACAAAAAAAATACATTCACTGTGCCCACTGTTGAGACTACCCAAAATATTGATATGCCTTGGCACACTGTCTAAGATGTGGAGGGGATTTCCGGTGTTAATGCTGATATTGGGTGTTTCACACTGCACTGTGTTCCCTTATGCCATTTCAATTTTATCATTCTGAAGAGGTGACTCTGGTCCAGAAGAGCTCATATCTTCTTTGGCCCTTGCTTTGCTGTTTTGAGGGGTAGACCTATAAAGACAATCAACAAACATCATTAATTTTGCCATGAGAATGAAATGAAAATTAAAAAAGAAAAAATAAATTCAGTATAGACAACACAATTTGGGTGGTGCTGGTGTTGTAATGACACTTACTTATTCTTCAGTGTCAGAACAATCACAACGATGAGGATGATGGCTCCAATAATGCCTAAAACAACTCCCAGAATGATGCCTGTAGTGAGCGAAGATACCAGTAAATGACAAATGAGCCCTTGCAATGAAAAACAGTATATTTCCATTATTTGTAAAAATCTTATGAGCGTGGTATGTCATTGTTTGATGCCCTGTATTTAAAATAAATGTTCATTAAAATGTAAGTAATGCATAGTTTGACTTTTTAATGTAAAAGGTTGAACTAAATTAAATAAAAACTAAACAACTGATAATCCAAGTGTAGAATGGTTAATATTTGGTTTTTCATTGGAAGGGCTCAGATAGCAAAAGACAAAGATTGTGAAAAAACAGTCACATCTGAGGTTCTTCACACAGAAAAGTTACCCACCGACTGGTGAGTCTGACTCCTCTTCCTCTTGTTTTCCTTCAGCTTCATCTATTTAAATCAGACATATACAAATCTATTTAGGCATGATTTTGTCTTTTAAGCACATCATAATAAATTAAGATCAGTCTTTTTCACGCTCACCTATTATTCCAGAACATGTGTCATTGCAGCTTTGAATATCCAAGAAACGGTTTCCGTTGCCCACACAGCCAGTCCAGAAGAATGTCTTGCATTTCCCATGAGCAGGATCATAGTAATAGCGTAAATAATAGCCCAAACAGTTCCCTGGAGCCTTAGGCAAATGGCAAGCCTTTGTTCCTGGAAAAAAAAGGATTGAAAATTGCACTTGGAAAATAATTTATAGCTTTAAGAAGAACTCTGATGCTATAATATGTTTTACCAGTAGGTGGCAGATTTTGCTTGTACCAGATCCTAAAGGAAATCACCCTGGACAAATTCATTATCTTGATTCATTTTATAACAGTGTCTCAGAGGGGCACAGCAGCAATAGTAAAGAACTGAAAATGTCCACCAGACTGCTATAATACATTTCATTGGATAGAGCTAAAGAAAACTCACTGTCCAGAGGGTAGAGAGAGTCGGCTCTGGCCGAACAGTTTCTCATGCAGTACACCTCAGCAATGAAGCGGTTTGCATTTCCACCCTCTCCCAAGTAGCGGAATGGTTGGCAATTGTCTGTATCCTTGTCGTAGTACAAGTAGACACGCACGTCTGAGCCTGTTCCCTCATCTTTGGGCAGGTCGCAGAGGGCTACAGTTGGAGAGAGAGATTGTGGAACTTTAATTTTTGGATTGTGGGTCTTTAATTAATGAAATCATGTCAAACTTAGTGTCACAAAAATATATGTAAATAAACAAATCCTTTTTTTCTGTCCTCTGCAGTAACATTTACTCTATGTCACTCTTTTAGCTTGAACCAGAGATGTATGATAAAGTAGTGGCAACACTGAACCTCAATAAAACCAATATAAAATAAAGTAAGGTGGAAAATATCTCCACAATATCTCAATGACAGTCCTTTTCCTCAAACTGAGGTGTAGGAAAACATCAAAGAAGAGTGTAATACTGTCTCGAAAGAGTAATGTTTAACTAGTTTGGAGACAGCCCACACCTAGTTTTTATTATGGCTGTAAATTCACTAGGCAACATGAAACTCGACTCTGGTTCTACATATGATAACATACACGAAGGTTGTGCTATAGTTCTCGACTTAATAAAAAGGAGTATGTATAAAAAAGGTACGTGTTTATCCAGACACCCTATCTAGTTAGATGTCTTCGACTAAATAAGCTTTGATTAAACCTGTATTCCCCACATTAGGATTTTTTTCCATTGAAATATACTTGTAGTGATGAGTCTCATTAAGGTGATTGTTTTTCAGTGAATTAATGTTTTTCAGTGCAGAGTGGCTATTATGTCTAATGATAATAATGTCTCTTATTTTTAGGAGAAGTTTTGAGAAAAATAATAATTTTAGAGCTAAACTCTTACAGAAATTTTAATTGTGAACCTAATTGACAGTGTACTGATTTGCCATGTGTCCTGGAAAATGCCCCTATACTTTAATGCACTTTACACATATATATTTATCCATTTAAGTGTTTGTGAAAATCAGCTGCTAATTTCTTCAAGACTACTGATTTTAGTTGGAAAAACGTAACATTAGACAATAGTATGCAAAAGTTCATTATGACATTAACAGAATATAGCAATTTAAACCATAATTCTTTTTCCTTTCCTATATCTAATGTGATAACGTATAATCTGTATCAATTTTGAGCTTTTGAGCTTGAACTTGCTAAAGTCCTGTACTTCACCTGTTGCACTGCACAGTTTTGTGTTTTCCCTGTTGTGACACACCTGATGCAGCTCATGCACCTGATCATTAGCTAATGATGTGTATTTGCAAACTACAAAACTGCATATGGATTTCCAGGACTGGATGTGGAAAACACTGGTTTCAACCTTTCCTTAGCTCAATCACAGTAAAGAGTGATCAGAACAGAAGGCCACATTTTGGGCGGCAATGCAACATCATAAACAACAACCTTTGTTCTCACTGCTGTGTGCTTTCCATATATATATATATATATTATATATATATATATATATATATATATATATAATGCTGTTTTTGTCAGAAGTCAGTTTGCTCACTTGATCCGTTTTGATCTCCTTTGAAATTGATCACATTAAAATTGTTATTTTTTCTCTCCTTTATTCCTTTGAAAGACATTTAAAGGCAAAGCTCATTTCACTGAATCAGGTGGGATTGACTGTTCACATAAATTCTTAGTTGGTTTGTCATATTGGACACTGCACAACCAAGTTACAGTCTTGTAATATTCTTTTACAATTAAAAAATCCTAAAAATACAAGTATTCATATATTCAACTTCATCAACTTTGTCACTTATCCTCCTCTAATTTTCTAACTGCCTCTGAATAAACCAGATACATAAAAAACATCTTGATACTTTTTTAAAACACTCAAATGACACTACACATTCAGGACACAATGTGTACAACTATTTGTACAAAATGTAAATAATTCTATGCAAAATAAAGTAGAAAAAAAGTATGTTGAAGAGTCCCAAACTTACACTGTACTGTAGTCTGCCCATTGGTAGAGTAGAATACAGCAAAAAAGACCAAAAATATGCTAAGATCCCTCATGGTGGTGTGATCTGTGGTGATAGCTGAAGTGAATGAGGGTTCATAAATTACAGTGGAAGAGAGGAGGACGTTGTGAACTTTGTACTTTTCTTGATAAGTACACGGTCTGAACGTTAACGAGGGGAAGGAAGATTAATTCAGCTATAACAAATCCTCTGTCTCTGAATGTATTAATTTAACAGTTATGTCTGATTGGACAGTTCAGAGAATTAGACCTCCAGCCATAGTTAGACCTACACTTGTTAATGCCCTGACATCTTTTATCATGTAATACATGATTCTGCTTGAATGGTTTGTCCTACCCCACCCTGTTCCTACACTCACCACTTGCCATACTGAATATTGACAAGGCCAGTGACAGCAGGGGACAAGCCCTCGTCCTCGAGCACAATAATCTGCCATGGTCTCATGAACCATACTAAGCTCATTTGCTAGCATCGTGGCCCATAAACTATGAAACTCTTCACTGTAATCTCTTCAACTCTGCTTTGCACCCTCCTCCTTCAAAAAGCTCAGCTTTAAACCTTCATCTTTTCTCAATTTTGTTGATAGTTGATAGTGATAGTGTCACAATTTTAACTTTTTTTTTTGGTTTTTACTTTACTTTTTGGTGTATAATGCTTCTGCAAATCAACATTGTAAATTAAAAATGCATTTCAATCAGAAATTCTGTATAATTCAGTTGTTGAGATGTAAATAAAGTCATTTAAAGTGGTTTGTTGTGAAATGGTGCATTGTAGAGAAACATATCGACTGAGATTTCTTTATAGTGGTGGTAATGTGATGTCTACACAACAACTGTAGCCATTTTATTTACTATCCAAAATGACCAGTGAACCTACATGTGTCTTTTGAGTTTTTACATAGTGGTAAATCCTGAAAAGAAAAGGTTTTCTTTCAGGTACTTAATTGGGTTTTTTGGGTAACGTCCTGCATGTGCTTCTCCACCATAAATGGAGCTAAAGGTTCATTCTATGCCAAAAGCTTATTGCAAAACAGTCGTAAAACAAAGTATCAGGCATAAGGCAGCAGATTCGAAACCATTTCATATAAAAAAAAAACTCTCGGTAAGGGAAATTTAAGAAACATTAAACTCTTCAGACGTCTGGTTCCTATCACCACCACTGTAAACAATTCTGCATCAGTAAGTTTCTCTAGAGCTGAGCATTCCGCACCAAACCAGTCTGAATGACTTTGTTTACATTTTAACCACTTAATAATGCTGAGATGTTGAAAAATCGGTGGAATTCATCTTTTAATAAAAGGGACAATAAATTCTATTAATGATCAAAATCAATGTCAATTTTTATTTTTATTCCTTCTCACCATAGCCATGTGTTGAGTGAGGAACTAAATTATGACTCCTTTAATACAGCAGCCATCCAAACAGCAGTCCAGTGGACAGATCATATGCCACCTTAAGAGAGCCTTCCAGAAGTCTCCCAGGAAACTGATTCATGATTTCATGTAACTGGCAGACTAGTCAAAGCCTGACCTTTAAACGTGTCTTAAGGGGTAAAGTTTCAGCTGCTGTGCCAGATTGTGCCTTCTGCTCCACCAAACAGCACCAGCCCACCTGCTGAGTGACCGAATTTGCTCTTATTAATGTATTTTTTTTTCTCCTAACACCAACATTAGCACTCACTACAGGCTAATAACAGATCCCCTCTCACGCTCTCCTTCATCTCAGCTGTTTTGTCGCGTGCGCTCAGCCGGAGTGCAAACTTGACTGCGGTACATGTTAAGTGGCCAGCGCGTCACTCTACCTCGCTCTCCTTCTGCCGCCTGCATTTCGTTAGTGTACTGATAAAAAGCTCTGTATTATCAGCAGTGCTGATTTTAACATCATTTGGAAGCTCTCGTCAGTTTTCTATAATGATGTAGTCTATTACTGAACCTGCTAAAGCCAGTAAAATGGCATGAAACACAGAGTAGCCTAGCCTAGCACAAACGCTCATCTCCACTGAACAGTGAGCGAAGAAAACAGCCCTTTGTTTCTCCTCTCTGCTTTAACGGAGGTTCTGCAGCACATCAGTAACTACCGGTAACCCAGCTTCAAACTTCCAGCCGTCTTTCCTTTTCCCTGCCCCTCCTCTAATGGACTGACTTCTCCTGAGGTGCAAAAGTGTCACTCAGCTCTGAGGTAAGACTTCTCCGTATTCTCTTTATGGTATAACGGTCGGTTTGCCTCAGTGTTTTTGTCTGTGTTGTGGCTAATTAGCTTTGTATGAAGTCACGGCTTCAAACCCGGCTCAGCTCAGGCTCTGAGGAGATGTTCCGTCATTGCTGTGACGTCATGGCCGGACAGAATGAGCGTGCCATGCTTAGTATAAAAGCCAGCTCCGATTACGCTGTTATGATTTCTTTTCTGAGGCACTTTACGCGAGATAAGGGAAGAGGATTCTGGCCAAGATGCCCTTCACTCAGTTAATAATATTTCTAATAGCCTTTCCAGTGTGTTCCAGTGGTAAGATTGTTTCTTTAGTATCTTTTACAAAGCCTGGGGTTTCAGTTTTTGCTCATTTTTTAACAGCTATTAGTAAGTATTGATAACTGTTACACAGATTTGTGCTGGTTTAAATGACCTAGACTGTGTCATGTGCTACTTTCTGTAGCCTGTAGATTGTAAAGGGCTGTTCTGCTACATCAAGAATCTCACCTTCAGTTCTTGAAGAGTTAGGCTTTCACAGAATGAGTGCAGAAGCAATACCCTAGAGACCCTAGGTGTGTGAGAGCGAGCATCAGATTCAGACTTTTGGATGTGGAGATGCGGAGACTGCATGCTGCAGGATAGACTGACCAAGATGTAAAAGATTTGAAAGCAGTTCCTATTAAACAGTAGCTAAATGAAACTTAATGGGAATGTATCATATTAGAAGGCTGCTGGTAGGGTTCATGGATATTTTATTTTTGCTGTGCAGACCAGGAATGGGTAGAAACAGTGAAATCTGCATGAAATTCTATTGTCCTGCTCAGAGTTCACGTGCTGGCTGACTTTTTTGTGCCTAATATCATGTCTGAAGTTCTTCCCAAGTCAGGTGAGAGAAGTTACAGCAGCTGCAGACTAAACAGTCAGGACACAGAGTGGGAGAGGTTTAAGGAAAAGCTGTGTGGGTTAAATTGCTGAGAAGGTTTTTTGTCACTTCCCATTTTTAGGACTTTTGCTCAGGGAGCTCATATTAGAAATATAATTGTTTCCTTCTGCAATTAAGAAAATTGTTCAGCTCTGCATTTTTTTAACTGGCTTCTCTCATTTCGTGAATGTTGATCATTGTTGTCTAGGAGACAGTGTGTCTAGTGTCTGTCAAAACATTTTTTTTTTCCCTCCACAGGTTTATTGGGGTAATTTGAGACAGATTGCTTTGCATTTTAATCAAAATATTATTCTAAAGTATTACCAGTTCCCATTTTTCAGTTTAGAACTGAATAAAGCAGACTGCATCTCCGGACCCACGTTAAGAATTCTCCACAGACACCCAATAATCTCTCTGTGGGGAAAGACTGGATGTCAGAGACACAGCTTGAAAGCAGAGCTGACTGAAATAGGTTGGCACTGACCAGAGGAGCAGTGCTGTGGTGCTGGAATGCATTATTTTGGCTGATTTAGGACTCTGCATGCGTCACCCAATTAGAGCAGAAAGATGTGTCTCAAGAACAGCGTGAACCCTACTTTTTAAGAACAAATTTTCATTTAAGGCTGTTTTCAAGTCCAAAGTTTTATTAAATGTGTTTAATTGACTTTCTCTGTTTCAGGTGGAAAGTGGACATATAATGGTAAGTCTGTTGCTGTGGAGCATGGCATCTTTTCATGTAATGTATTTGCTAATTTTGCTGATTACTGCTATGTGCAACAACAAACCTGCTTTCTTTTGACCATGATTCCTCCTTCTAATGTTTGTACTGTACTACACCTGAGTTTATTTATAAGAGATGACAGTATTTGCTTTGCCCCATATAGGGCAAATATAGTGGTCTCTCTCTCTCTCTGTTGAGTGTAAAAGGTCACTTGGTCAGTAGTAGAGGATAGAGGCAGAATATAGGGTCAAAGCATAAGAAAACATCTGCTAAATTCCCTCCTTCGTTTCTGGCCTCAGTTGACCCAAAGACTTTAGAGAAATATGACTCACACTGAGCAACTTTTACTGAAATTGTGAAATTATTTTATCGGAACTAAAGTGTCACTGTGCAAATCAATGCAAATGAAGTTGTTGTACATGATACTAATAAGCAGGTTTCCATAAACCGGCATGCTTACTCACTCTGTGACTCAGACAGTTTTCTGGTCGACTGCCTGCCACTTTAGTAAAACAGAATCAGCCCTGGTCACTGCCCCTCTGCACCAGGCCTATTATAGGAAAGGCTGTTTTAGTGTTATCTCTAGCCCTGCCAATATGTCATGCCAGAGCGGACACTATTTTGGTAATGCTAATTTGGCAGTATCAAAGAACAAGTAGCTCTGGTACTAGAGGACCCTGATGCTGCACAATCTGACCTTCCTCTGACCCACTGGTCCCCTAAGACATGAGCTCTATCCTCACCCTCTATATCATCTCATTTCTGACCCTGCCCCAAGCACAATCCCTTTACACATGCTGCGTCAACAACACTTCCTATGCTACACAGTGCCTCTGGATTTTGCTAACCCATCATTTTAATAAATTAAGTCAGGACAGCAAAGACTTTTAAAGTCTGCTTTAGAAACTACTAGTGATACATTGTAATTATATTAGTTATCATGTTAATTTATAGTTGCAGTATATATGAAGATCTAATGGCATTCATGAAATGAAAATGTAAAGGACTTACGTTTTAGTTCTATTAAGAACACATCCTAAACAGAATTATGATACTCACCAGACATATGTATCAGTGGGAACTGTGCAAATGAAAGAGATGACAAGAAACATTTACCATTTCATTGCTGTCCCAAAAATCTCAGTTTATTGAGATTTTTAGTTTTCTGTATAATTTGAACTCAGCAGTGGTCCATTACATTGTGTAAAAATTTGATCAATGGACCAGTAGAAATGCCCCAAAACTGCCTGGAATAAAATCTTTTTACATTAACTTGCATTAACAGTTAAAACTGCTTTTGCCCTCTCCTGTAAAGTTACCATTCTGGAGAAACTTGTTTTTCTTTGGGCAGTGATGATATATTCTCATCTTTGTTAAAGCTCAATATAGTCTGTTTTTCATCACTAGGGAATGATGATTTGTGTTGATATTGGTGCAGTGGTTCCCAAAGTTAGCCTTGTTTGAGGTGAGGCAATTTTAAATAACACTACAGAAACCACACAAGCTGTGATAAAGAGTTGCTATAATTGTTTTATTTTGAGAAATTTATTGCTCCCTTCACTGCTTGCCACTTCTTATTAAGTTGGTTTTCTAAATTTAAGAAAGAACAATGTGTAATTGCTTTTATATTCTTATATCTTTAAATCTTCTGGTGCTGCATAACTGTTGTGCCCTGTTATAATTTAAACTCACTTGCTTAAATTTCACTCACTTATGTTCAGTTGAGCTAATTTTCACAGTTGCTCTCATTTGTTATGAAGTTAGTGTTTTTTCTTCCAACAAACACATGGAACAGTCTATTAAAACCAACCTGACCAAGGCAGCAGAAAAGTCCACCAGTCTACCATTCCTTAAATATGTTAAGTAATAGAGTAGGACTGCACAGTATATTGTTTCTTAATCATTATTGTATTATCTGCCTTCACAGTGCTTATTTTGCAAAAAATGGTGGATTTTGGTGTTTTAGGGATAAGCTTTGAATCTTAAGACATGAATTTTATTTGGATATGATGGAATCAAGAATGATTACATATAGTTATTTGTGTTTTTTAAATGTTTCTTGCTATTTCACTTTGTGTGTCCTATGGGGCATAGAATTTCTGAAATTCTTCATCTACATGGATCACCACCCCCAGAGTAGTGGTCCTTCTATATTATGGCCAGTGTTTCCTGATTGAATATCATTTTGTCCAGCTGTGGTGCTGTTCTTAACTGTTCTCTTCTATTAAACTATGTTTTTAAAAACCATAAATTTTTCCTAATTTCCATTGCATCAAAGTGTGCAAGATACAAAAAAGCGTCTAGCCAATGTGTTTTCAGTATATTGAAAGATAGATTGCAATTTCCATTAGAGTGACAATTAGCTCCATTTGGGAACAGTTTATCAGGGTACATTTTTGACTCTGCAATTTATTCATTGCAAAGCGTAAGATATCACAATGTGACTTCTCATGCTATTGTTCTGCCATAGCATAGAGTATGAGTTCCCAGAGCTGTTCACTGATGGGCCGTGCCACTGATATGAGACCCAGTACAGCTCCCCTCTAACACACACTCGGGGGATCATTTCCTCTCTCATCAAACTAAACTAAGCTGAGTGGTCCTCTCTGACCACTGGCCCTAAGGCCTCTTTGGCATTCTGTGCTGACTCCAGATGAGTCAAAGCCTCGTTTCTCGCATGCTGCGGGCACGAATAGAAATTTCACTGCCCAAAGACTTTTAAAAATCAAATCCACAGAAAACATGCAAGTAGCTTGTGGCTTTATAAATCTGAGCTAATTAAACTGCTATATCAACAACTTTGTTAATATTGACCTAATGACTGTAATGACATTAAGCTGCAACCTGTTGTGCTTTAATAAGACTTCTTATTTGTTATAGCTGTAGAGTGTTATATATTCTCACAGTCTGTCAAGCTGTTGACATCATGCTACACATTTAGTCCCAGGAGCTGCCTACTATTTTGCTTATGCGTAGGAAATCACAGAATTCATGACACCATGACTATGTCACAGGGTGCCATTCACCATGAGCAGTGCTGTCCGTGCCAAAGAGCAATGAGAGTTGGCCATGAGTAGTAGATGTGGTCACAGTGCTGAAACTGGCCTCAATTAAAATGGCAAAAAACTGGACAAGGAGTAATTTTGACCAAAGATAATGTGCTGCTTTTAATAGTGACAGTTTGTTGGCCCCTAACTGGATGACCTTCCCTCAAAGAGTGTAAATTCACAGATGGTCTAATGCTCTGCAGACTTGCACCTCAGGGTCTCCTGCTTCTCCTCCTTTACATGACTTTGCATGATCCCTTCTTATCTGTTTTTAGAAGCCTTTGTCTGTCAAAAAAATCAGTAGCAGAGAAATTTACTACAGAAGTTGTTGTTTGTTAAAGAAAACAAGGAAAAAACATCAGCTGTGAGCTGTGAATTATGTAACTGGCAAGCTACTGCCTTTCATTGCTGCAGTTATGACAATGGTTGTTTATGGAACTGTATCTACTTTTTTTAGTAGAATCAAAAAAGAAAGAAGGCCTGTAAAAAGAGGATTTTTGGCAACAACACCACTGCAAAGCTTGCATAGCTATTCTCTTTTCCTGACTGACTGAGCATAGTGTTATACAGCATAGAGGAAGTCATCATGATGGGCATGTCAGTGTTACAATACTATCTTGTCACATTAGATCATTTTGCTCTAATAACAAATAAGTAACATCATTGCATCAATTAAGTGATGCATTGAAATTACATATTTTCTATTAAAAGCTTCTGAAGTTGTGTGGTATTGGTTCTCCTGGTAGGCAGCTGTATAGGCCTATAAGATGACCATTATTGTTAGACAGACAAAGTGGTTTGTCCTGCATTACGTGGCTCTTTTTTGGGTAAACAGTGAATTATACAAGCCTCTCATTAAGATCAAGCCAGCAAGCTCTGTCTCCCTCTGCAACATGTCTAACTATAGACTGTTTACTGACACTAGCTGCTTTAGATATAATGTTGATAGAATTTGTTTCTTAAGCTATTTTCATTAGGATGACTAAAGTTGGAATTTGTGCAAGATACCTTTGCTGGTTGAGGGCATATTCATCTAATCTGTGTTCAGAATAATCCTTGTGTACACAAGATTGTTGCAGATACACACTCTCACTGGCTTGGTTGAACTGTTGTGGACAGCCTGTGAAGCCTGCACGAGAAAACACATGCAATTTTTAGGATTGGCATTGTTCTGAGGGCACTCCTTCTGCAGGGCGGCATTCTGTAAACATTTGTATGACACAGGCGCCTTGAGCCTTATCAAAGAAGCAGTTATGGGTAAAGCAGAACTTTGAGGTTCAACAAAGATAAAGTTCAAAAGGGCAGCATTTTAGAGAAAGTACTCACTCAGAGTAGTTGAATAAATTAGTCAATCTAAACTTTGGAATAGAGAGAGATAATGCATTATGACAAAGGATGAGTAGTGTTTTGATTTATTGTCTTTGGTTTTAGGGCCTCATGGAGAGCACCACTGGCCCAAGCACTTCCCATACTGTGGAGGAGCATTCCAGTCTCCCATAAACTTCCAGACAGAGCTGCAGAGATATGATCCAGGCCTACTCCCTATCCAGCTCCAGAACTACAACCTGTCCAGCAGTGAACAGCTCACCTTAAGCAACAATGGGCACTCTGGTAAGACTGAATCCTTTTTCTTTTTTTTCCTGTTCATTTGAACATTTACTGTGTCCTTTTTGTATGAATACAATTTCACAACACTATGTGTTCAGTTCTTCACAAATATTGCAAGGTCATATTTTATTCTCCCTCACTGTAATGATAAATGTACTCTTAGAACTTCTTCACTTCTCAGAACTTCTCAGACTCCTCGTCTACATAAAAGCTGAAGGATCAACTGTTGTTAAACTGATGGAGACACGTGCATTAGCCACAATGCCTAAAATGGTCTTTCTTCTCAATGCTAATTTCTAGCTGAACATGGAGAAAATGACAGGACAATCTTTTTTGCATGTCGACCACAGCAATTTTCTGTAATCACCCGCTTATTATGATAACCGTCCGTGTAGGCAAAAGCAATGAGCAGCTCATATTTTGGGCAAGTAAAGTATGGAGTGTTCTTAGTCATGACTCACACTACAGGTAATCTGTTAAACAACAACGCGCATGCCACCTCTCTTAAGGGCCTCAGTTGCATTTTCAGTCATAATTCAATTTTAAAACATAGCATTAACCTGGATAATGATCTTATAGAAAATACGCAATTCCACAGATGAAATCTTTCCCTACCATAATCCATTTTACTTTGCAAATTGCTTTTACGTGCACAGACGTAAAAGCATATATATATATATATATATATATATATATATATATGAATATATATATACTACTTTTCAAAAGTTAGGAGTCATCAAAAGTTAGGAGTCAAATATACTACTTTTCAAAAGTTAGGAGTCATCTGTCGCATTAACAGTTTTAATTATTTTATATGTAATAATAACATGTACAATGTGGAAATATGTATTAATATTTTGATTAGATTAGTTTTTTCTGTTGGGTATGTATGTGTGTTTGTGTGTGTGTGTGTATATATATATATATATATATATATACACACACACACACACACACACACATACATATATATATATATATATATATATATATATATACACACACACACACATAGGTACACATACACACACAAATCAACTACTTTTTTCACAGTGATATAAGGTGTTTTTACAAGCAGAAAATACATTGTTTGACTGCTTAAGAATTTTACATATTAAATTCATTGTCGGTGGTACACAGCTTTCTCAATCATTTGAATCTTCTTCTATCCAGCATTCTGGACACATTTGTTAATTTTTATTCAAAGCTTCCTATTGTCATACTAATTATTTGACCTGTTACACTGCATTCGCATTTAAGAAGATTTTTACATACTTGTCTGTAACCACCTGTTTTTATATTAATAAAAAGAGATCCCAAACTTTTTAACAGTAATGTAGACGTGTTTTACTTGACACAGACTGAGCTGTGCCACACTGTGTCTTGCCTCAGCACTGCCTCCCCTCTGTATGTGGCAGGCGCTTCTGTTTCGAATGCCAGGTGAGGGCCTGAGCATGTGCCACTGACAATGAGAAGTAAATGCCTGAGGGATGCTGACAAAGCACCCTGTGCACCGCTGGTCTTTCTGACAGCAGCACGGCTGGGTGTGTCACGGACACTGATCTCAGAGCAGCCCCTGTGGTTTTAGTGGCTGATGGTGTTTTGAGAAAGTAGAGTTACACTGAACTCTAAGCTTAAGCAGACACACAGGATTTGGGGTGGTTGGGGTAATAGCAGAAAAGAAGCAGCGTTGGCTGTGATTGCTCAGGACCTCACCTGGCATACCAAAGCCACATGCACAGAAGTGGGCTCAGCCCCAGATTTGTGTCCAGTTTCTTGTCATTTCGAGACTTGACTATTGCAATTCAGTACCCAACTGATTCAAAATGATCTTGTCTTAATGCATATCAATTCAATGCTAGATTCCCACTACTGTTTTTCTGTAGCTGCTTGCATTATATTTAAACACACCTGCATGTCTGTAGCCCCAAAATGGACCAGCATCACCCTACCAATGATAACAGTTAAATCCCACACCATATCTTGAGCGCCTAAAGCCTCATGTACGATTCAACTTGACTCACCATCTCTCAAGACTCATGGAAGACAAGCCTCAAGACTCTCAAAGCTCTGTACTGAAGCTGAGGTGGTGGAATGAACTTCCTCTGGCTGTCCAAATAATTGAATCTCAGGCTATCTTCAGATGCAGATGGAATACTCATCTCTTCACTGAACACTTACTGCAAGAAACCTCTTATAATGTGTTTATTTTATAACTATATATGTCTGTATCCGCACTGACTCTGGTGGTGTCTTATTGGGTGGGTGGCTTTAGACTCTACCCTGTTCGCTCTAGAGTAAGGATACATTTTTCGAGCGGAGAGCAAACCACTTCTTTAAATTGCTCTGGATTAAATCGTCTGCTAAATGCCATAAATATAAATGTGCGTAAGGTCTCACTTAAAGAGGTGAACTTGTTTTTCCATTGTTCCATCTCATTGCGAAAGGTTTAATTTCATCATGCTGTTGTGTGTGGTTTGTGTTCACAGTGCAGTTGTCTTTGTCGCCCCGTATGTACGTCTCCGGGCTGCCTCATCGCTATTCAGCAGCTCAGCTGCATTTCCACTGGGGCTCACCTAATGTGTTGGCTGGCTCTGAACACACTGTGAATGGCAAGCAGTTTGCTGCTGAGGTGAGACACTGCCCTCATATATGACAAAGTGAAATAAGATTTGAACTCATTTATATGACTTACTTTCACTCATAGTGGTTAAATGAGTTAGTCTTCTGATTTTGACTAGCAAAAAACAACACAGCCACCACAGCATCAGCTCACACGGAGGATCAGATAAGTTGGGCAGAGGAAACAGCTGAGTTCCAAGTAGTTGGCATACATTTGGCACATGTTCCCATTGGTAAGGGCAAAAAGAGCTTATGGCGTATTTAGACTTTGTAATTGACCACTCATTTGTTGTCTGTTCTTGTGGCTTGGATTTCATCACAGCCCATCCTTATATTTTGCCAACAGGCTATATAACATTCTGATTTTAGGCTCAGAACAATTTAGGTTTGAGAAAACAGGCACTTGCATGTCTGAATCTCCAAGACCAAATATTTTTGACGTACTGTGTTATTGTTAAGACATGTTCTTTAGATATCCCTTACAATTAGACTCTGTGGTCTGGCAAGGATCATTAACACTTTTGGTTTACCCTATTATACTAAGCTTTGTCACTAAATATGAATAGACATATGTGAACACTTAACCATCAGTACTATAATCGAGTGCATAAATAACATGATGTACACTCACTAAGCACTTTATTAGGAACACTATACTAATTCTGAGTAGGGCCTCCGTTTGCTCTCAAAACAGCCTTGGATTCCACAAGATGTTGGAAACATTAATTTGAGATTCATGTTGACATGATTACATCATGTAACGTAATTCCTGCAGATATTACAGGTGCACTTTCATGCTCCGAATCTCTCATTCTGCCACATATTAAAGGTGTTCTGTTGGATTCAGATCCAGTGACTGGATAGGCCACTGAAGAACACTGAAGTCATTGTCATGTTCATGAAACCAGTTAAAGATGACTTTTGCTTTGTGACGTGGTGTGACATCTTGTTGGAAGTAGCCAAAGAAGATGGTAAATTGTGGCCATGAAGGGATGCACATGGTGAGCAACAATACTCAAACAGGCTATGGCATTACCTGATGATTGATTGGGATTAACAGGCCCAAAGTGTGCCAAGAAAACATTCCCCACACCACCTCCACCAGCCTGGACTGTCGACACAAGGCAGGTTATGTCCATGGATTCATGCTGTTGGTGCCAAATTGTGACCTTACCATCTGTGTGCCACAGCAGAAATCGAGATTCATCAGATCAGGCTACGTTTTTCCAGTGTTCAGCTGTCTAGTTTTGGTGAGCATGTGCCCACTGCAGCCTCAGCTTTCTGTTCATGGCTGAAAGAAGTGGACCCTCACATGGTCTTCTGTTGTTGTAGCCCATCCTCCTCAAGTTTTGACATGTTGTGCATTCTGAGTTGCTTTTCAGCTCACCACAATTGTTCAGAGGGGTTATCTGAGTTACTTTAGCCTTTATGTCAACTCAAACCACTCTGCCCATTCTCTGTTGACCTCTTTCATCAACAAGGCATTTCTGTCTGCAGAACTGCTACTCACTAGATGGTTTTTCTTTATTGGATTATTCTGAGTAAAAGCTAAAGACTGTAGTGCGCAAAAATCCCAGGAGATCAGCAGTTATGGGAATACTCAAAACAACCCGTATAAAATAGCAAACATAAACTGTATTATTTATAAAATGTCTTGTCACAAAATTATTATAAATGGCTATTTGATCTCCTATTTGGTGACCACCTTTCTGGATATTTTATTGTATGTTCATTCTTGATGATATACAGCTTTCTCAAATATCATTGAATAATCAGTAGTTTTTTTTTTCAGCTTTTTACAAACCAGTTGAAATCCGGCACAGTATATATTGATATTAACTTTTGTTTTATGTACAAAACAGGAATTTTCTTTATGATCAATAAACTTCCAGATGCTCACTGTAGTTTAAAAAGGGGAAAACACCTAGAGACCACAGGAACAGGCCCTACTGTTCAAACAGCCAGAGATAAAAAGCTCTGATGACCATCCTCTTTAAACAATCTGCATATGAAAATGGGCTCAGGATCGAAAAGAGGGCTTTCCTTTAAGCTGAGAAAAAAAGCCTTGGAAGCAGAATGATTGCTGGTGGGTGTGACTACATAAAGCAAGCAGCGATCTTTTATTGTGTTTTTATGGGCTCAGTGCCTCTCCTCTCAGGGAGAAGTTAGGGCATCCTGTGGTTTGATGTGCCTTTCTCTCCAGACACGTTAAGAACAGAGGATTTTTTTTTCCTTTTTTCCCTCTGACTTCATGACCACAGATTCTGTCAGGGTACTTTTTGAAGACATTCTGCCTTGAAAGGGGAGAATCATGTTTAAATGAGTACTTCCCTGAAGTAGTAAAATTGTCACCCTTTTTCCCATGGCCTACACCCAGGCTAAAAATACCTTTCCCAGTACATAGTTATGTGTTTACATCAAAGAAACTGCCTTTCCTTACACAATCCATGCACAATCTTTGGAAGCATGTCTCTAGGGCTTGTCGTTTCAGGGATCAAGTCTAGTGTTTATATTGGTTTCTGCTCATTATGGTACATTCACAAAATTCACAAGCTTTCCACTCTTAGTGGCAAAAAACCTGCCACTTTCAGATCAATTTTCACCCACACATCAGCATGCTGATGGTCACATGCTAGAACGATGAGGTTGAGATATAAATAAATGAGCACATGCATTGTGTTTTAAAAGTCTAATTGAAGAATGGCAGGAAAATGTCAGGTGATCTCTTTCCTCTTTTTCCTTGGCTTTCTTAGATGCATGTGGTACATTTCAACTCTGGCAAGTATCCCAACATCTCCATGGCATTGGACAAGTCTGATGGTCTTGCTGTGTTAGGAGTTTTCATTGAGGTGAGCTGAAAATAACCTTATATTGCAACAAAACTTCATAGGTCCAAAATAGTAACATTATAATATTTGATTTTATTGAAAAGATTTGTTTGTCATGAAATGTTCACACAATGCAAAATGCAACTATTGCTTTCAAATGGTGTACAAAAAAAGATGAAAACAATAGTTAGATTTACAAGGTTATGACATGACAGTAACACAGTGCATAGCTTGTTCAGCCTCAACTTTTTTTCAGATAAGTGCCAAATAAAAAATTGAAAATACAATCATACAATACAGTTTGCAGATAAGTGTGCTAAACTTAAATACCAAGTCGTTGATTATCTGAGGTATGTCCGAAAAAACAAGCAGCTCAAGCATTTAAAGAAAATGGTTAATAATTAAGTTTTTATAAATGTATAAGTACATTTTAATGCTCCTTTGAAACATAGGTGGGCGAGTTCAATCCTGCTTTTGAACAGTTCCTCAAATATGTTAACGGCATTAAGTATAGAGGTAAGGGTGCTTTTTTCCTTTTTCATTGCAGTAAACTGCAGTAATCAATGTTCATTAAATACACTGCTGTGCCAAAGTCAGAAGTATGCTAACATTGTGCTGGAAGGTACAGTAATCCATGCTGAAATGTCTCTTTTTCTTACTATAATGAGATAGACCAGAAAGTGCAGGTGCCAGCATTCAGTATTCGAGACCTGCTGCCTGCTCATCTGGATGAGTATTTCCGCTATGATGGCTCTCTTACCACGCCACCCTGCTACCCGAGTGTGTTGTGGACAGTGTTCAGGCACCCTGTCACCATCTCACTCAGACAGGTACTTTCCAGCACTGTCCAGATTATTAGCCCTGAAAACCTGCTAAATTGAAACTAATAAGGGAAGTCAGCTTCTGTATGTTTTGAGTCAACAGGTTTTTCTGGGGTTTTTATGAAGAACACATGTTGCAGTTATTACCTGGGTTATCATTTGTATGATACAGATTTGGCAGATAGAGATTAGGTTGAAAAACGCTGGAACATTCCTTTAAAGGGCATGGAAAATACACTTTCCCTACTTTTCTAAATAAAAGATGTAGTACATAAACATTGTTAAAGTTTAAACACATTTTTCACTCTCCATTCCATAATGAAACCCATGGAAATGAAGCTGGTTTTGAATTCACTGTTTTTGGGATTTTACACTAACCATCAAATTTACATTTATCACCCTATTCAGCCTACAGCAGTTCAGCTCTACCCATTCCCTCTGAAGTTATAAAGAGTGTTTCAACGCAGATAGCTTTTTGAATGAGACACAATACAAGGTAGACAATAAGAACAGAACTCACTGGCTTATAGCAGTTTGAAAGGCATGTTAACAAAAAAAGCATGTTTAATTCTAGGGGATAAAAGGTGGAGGTAAAATGGCCATATAAAAATTAATTATGACGGTTTCTGGTACAAGCAACCACACAAATGTAAGTGGACCGCTGGGAAAAAATAACATACAAGAATGATGTAGGACAGGTATGTCAAACCGGGGATCTTCCAGGCCAACGTGCTGTGGATATTAGCATTTACCCTCGTCTAATGCTCTAAATGCAGTTCATGAAGGCCTTGCTAATTAGCTGATGAGCTGACACATGTGATGTAGGATAGGGGCCATTTGAAGTCAACATGAATCATAATGCATTTCTTTCCATACCGTGATAAATTTCTGGGTGAAATACAGTATTAGTCTATGAGTTAGCTGAAGGTTTTCTCTTGATGATAGGTGGTGGGAAGGGGGAGTTGAAACATGATATTATTGGTTATTATTATTTTTTTCCCACCCAATGGTGCACAGTGATGTAATTAAAAATCGTAAGGGATTTTAGAGGCAGGAAAAATTCAGTACCCTTTGATGGAAAAATATGGAAAACAGATAACTAACAAATTAAACAAGGTCAATTTGACTTCAAGAATCAAGAATTGACAAATAGCACCACAGAGACTATTTGATGACTTGGAGAGAAGTAAATCCACATGTTGTGTTTTTTAGTGCAGCGGTTTTGTGTTTTTTGCTGCATCAGAAACTGGCCTGTCAGTTGTAGCCATTCTTGATTGGTACTTTAAAAGGAAAGCTGTAAGTACAGAAGCCCTTTATAGAAATATGGAATGTTTAGCACTTGCTAATGAGCTAACTAGTATGGGGCAAAGACTAGAAGCAGTGAAACCATAGCAACTCTCTCAGTATAATGTTATGTTTCTGTTCTTACTGTGTGTTTACAGTACCTGGCACTAGCCACTGCTCTGTTCTCGTCTCATGCTCAAGAGTCTGCCCCAATGCCTATGCTCGGCAACTACCGTAAGCCGCAGCTAATGGACAACAGAGTGGTGCTGGTGTCCTTCCAGGAGGGTGAGTACTGCATAGAATGCTCACTGTGTTGGGGAAGTTTGTGGTACATTTTCACCTGCTAAATGGCTGTAAGATTAAATGTTTGATGAAGGGATGTAGCACTGGCTTTGATGAAAGATGGGCTGTTGAAATGACTTTGGCTTGCTCGCTGCCTACAGAATATCTTATAACCAACCAGCTGTGCCCTTTCTTGTAATCTTTGTGAATGACCTTCAGTTTTAACTACTGCACTTCCAAATGTTTGGAGCTTTTTAATTAGATGCCTCTATGGACATAAATCTGCCTTTCAACCCCTGGTTTTAGGCAGTGGTTGCCCACCACAGAAGTTTGTTCTAAATGCAACAGACTTAGTATGAGAGAATGTTTCAAACTGCTGTCATCACCAGAGATAAAGTCAATACACAGCAGATTCATTCTGTGTGATTTTTTTCCCCAGCAAATTAAGATGTAATCTGCCAACATAACTTGCTTTCATCTGCTGCTTGTGGTTCTTTCTGCATCCACTCTTTCTTCTGAGCTGCATGAATATACCAAAGAAGTAAAAAAATGCCTGACTTCTGACTTTCAGCCCTGCTGCTTGCCCAACCTGGGGTACATGGCTTAAAGTAAACCTTCACTCTCAGTGATGCAGTGATTGAACTTCTTTATAACCTGTGTTTGGTACAGGCTGGGGGCTGCATGGTTCTCTTTCAGTGGTATCTCCCATGCAGAGGAAGCTGGTCATCCAACAGCTGCTGAAAGGAGACCTTGCAGACCTGGCGGATGAAGGACTCCAGCAACTTTTGCCAAAGATCAAACGTAAGCCCTGGGCACCTAAGAAGTGGAAGAGCAATCAAACCCACCAGCAATGGAGCCAAGTCACTGAGAAACAACAGAAGAACAAAGTGCCAGAAAACAATCCCTCTGTCTGGAAAAACACTGACACAAGCCCCTATACGGGGAAACTTGGTGTAAATGAAGATGAACTGTGTTTTATGTCCTTGGAAAAGAATGTATCTCTTCAGCTGAGGAAACATCACAGAGATGGCGAGATGGTCCACACTCTGAGAAAAGCAGTCTTCCCAGAGCTAAACCTGAGGAGCTACTTAAAATGCAAATCTGATTTGGACATGCAGACCATTAAATATCTTCTCCATACCAGACCTACAGAAGACGCAGATGAGCTGGAGAAGACTCTGACCAAAACCACCAAGAAGGAAAGACAGAGAGCCATGTCACAGTACCATGGTCCAGCATTGACCAAGCTGACAGGACAGTCCCAAGCTACTGGCCTTAAGAATGCCTACAACATGGTCCCCACTAACCACAAACGTGAGCCCATAGAGTTTGAAGATTAGAACCCCACCAAGGCCGAAAACACAGGCTTTGTAGCACATTCCAGTGCTCATCAAAACCCTTGAGTTCAGTTCTTGTAAATTTCTGTTTACATTAACAGGATCTGTAGTAATAGTGTGTTGTGCTTCTGTTGTTAGATAAATTCTGCTTTTGCAATATTTAGATAATATATAGAGATAATAAGAGCTGAATTCATGACATTTATTTATTGTCTTAGAACAGTGACAGAGCCAGTGATTTTGGTATGGACAATATGCTGGATATAACTAGCACCTCTTCTAATGGACAGATTTCTTCACAGATTTCAGCACCTCCCAATTCCAGTAGTCTACCCAAAGATAGTCTGGACAAACAGTAGCTGTTCTAAACATCAGCACAAATCGCATGGGAAGATGTAGGCCAAAGTATTTAAACATTACATTAAATAACTCAAAGATTATTTTTGCATTTTATTGGGAAAAGTTTACTTCTGTGTGACAGTAATTATATAGTAAAGCGGTTATAGCCATGCAGGATGGAAAATGGCAGCTAAAAGATGAAAAACAATGGTGCTTAAGCATTTAAACATTCCTATGTTTTTTAGCAATGTGTGGCTTTTTTGGGTGTGAGTTTAGACCAAAGAAAAAGCTCTCGAGAGGGACCTTTTTGTGGACTGACTTTGTGAGTTTTTACGTGGAGTGTCTTGATCATGAACTGTAAAATAAAAGCATTATATAAAGCACTAAAACTGCAGTAATGGTGCCTTTTTACCACAGCTCTGGAATAAATTGTTGCTTTTTTTAGAATACTTTTAGGTTTGTGCCAATATTCTCACTCGTGAGGTGCATGAGCATCTCTTGTGAATATAATGTAATCCACTGTGAGTGTTATATAAATGTTTATGCAATGAAAATGATAGCACTTGACGTTTTTCTTGTACATACAGTGTCATAAAAAACATTGGATTTCCTCCAGTTTTGCATATTTCTCGCTAAATGGTTTCAGATGCAAAATATAATGCAAAATACGAAATATAAGACAAGGAGAATATGAGGAAATATAAAACTGTATTTAAATAATCATTTCATTTATTGAAGGAGAATGTTTTGCAACATCTATATCACCCATAAACTTAATAACTGATTGTTTTACCTTCAGCAGGAACACCTGCAACCAAACACTTCCTTTAACTGGCAGTCAGTCTTTCACATCACTGTGGGGCATTTTGACCCTCTGTTCTTTGTAGAATTGTTTTAGTTCTTTTGAGCATGAGCTGCTCATTTAAGGTCCTGCCACAGCATCCCAGTGGGCTCTTTTGCGACCACTGTTCCAAATTTTTGCTTTCACTCTGGTTCACTACAAGTTAGAATTGTCAGTTATTTACAGGTCGCTTTGCAACCCTTTATAGGCTGATCTTTTTCAAAAACTTTCTTTTGATTGTAACAGTGTGCTGCTTGTTGAGACCTTTTAGCCTACTTCACAGTGCTTGAAAGGTTTAAGATGTGTTTAGAGATGGCAGTTATCAAGCCTGGGAGTGTGTAGTTTTGACACCCATGATCAACTAAATTTGGTGAATTGATTGATCAAATAATTAAGGTGCAATTAGTTCCTCACGCAGGGCCAGTTAATGTTGGAAAACTTTCCGTGAAGTGATTTTTAAAAATCACTTTATCATTTAAAAGCTGAATTTTTTGTTTGCTTAAGTTGTCTCTGACTTATATATTAAAGTTTGTTTGAAAATCTGTAACAATTAAGTGTGAAAAGTATGCAAAGTATAGAAGGAAGGAAAATACTTTTTCACTGAACTGTAAACAGCAGGCTACAGCAGCCCAAATTTTTCTTCTATTTCAAGCTATGATTTGTGGAATAAATCTCCAAATTTCTATTTCTTCAACTTAAATTGCTCTTTTTTCTTTCCTTCTCTTTCTTGTCTTTCTCTCTTTCTTGCTAAGATGACTTCGCTTGGATGAGCTGGGGTATGTTGTATGTTGCAATTGTGTTCTTTTTATGTGTGCATGAGTTTTTGTCCGTCACCTCTGACTAACTGGCCTGACATCTTCATTCAGTGAAATGCAAGTCCCATTCCACTCTCTGAATGAGTAAGAGACAGCTCAGTGACATGTGGCCAGCAAACTGCGTCAGAGAGCTGTCCCTTTCTCTGGTGATGCTGCAATTGCTGATGATTTAAGATTCTTACAGCCAAAGCATGTTAGTGTAGTTGTTACTAATTTTATACATCATGCTGTACAATCAAAATCTAATTACTTCACTTAGTTGTCACATTCTTAGTCATATTCTACCTCAGTGGGCCTTGTGTTTGTCTCGTCACGTGTCATTATTTTGCGGCTGTGTTACAGTCATAACAAGTGATGTTTAATGACTGTTTATCTGGAACATGTGGCTGCTTCGGATGGGATAACGAGGATACTAATCATCTCCAAATAACATATTTTTGTTGATTTAAAGATTACAAATGAAGATGGTCAGCTTGCAAATTATAAATGGTTTGATGATCGTACGACACAGTGAGGTCAGTAGCACACCAGGTGTTATTCAGCTAAGCTTTCTGAATGCCACATGGTGATTTTTAAAGCCATTCGTTGACATCAGTGTTAAATAGACCAATGTACATCACAGCTGCACTAAAAACGAGTCTGCTAAGATTTTTTTCAGTTTTTTGGATTATTTGGATTAGAATTTAAAGGGCTAATATCTTATATTTTTCTTGTATTTTATTTTCCCCCCTGAAGTTTATGGTATTTGTAGTTTTATGTATAGGAAATTTTACATGACCATTTTCCAACATCTCTTTATCCCTCTGAATTAAACTGATGGCTGTTTTTTTTTACTGTGCCTTTAAGACCTGATATATGTAAGTTCTTAAACTCCTTATAACTTTACTGTGAGGGGGCAGAATTAATCAGCTGTAGGCCGAATTGAAAATTTGGTTATTTGACATCACAAAAACAATCCATTCAAAACAGACTGTTTTTGCGGTTTAGTCCCCAGAAAGCAAAAAGATGGCAAAACTGGTGGCCCACTGGCTTTTTACTCATCGTCCTCCAGGCAGCCCACTGGTGGTTGATCAGAGTATCAGACAAAATGGCACTTTCATTGCTCATTTTGCGCTTGCAGTCCAATTTATTTATTTTTCCTTCATTTTTTCATTAGAGCTAGTCATTCTTTTGTTTCACTTAATTGTTATAATAATTGTCTTTATAGTTTATTTTCCAAAATAAAAGGCTGATTTGTATTTAAAATCTGTTTGAGGAGATGAAAAATTAGTTAGTCTTTAAATATAAAAATAGTAATAATCTGGGTGGTCTGAGAGTGGCCCAGCAGTGGCATACAGTCAGTGGGGTGCCGACCTTATCAAGCCTGTGAACCGATATGTTTGCTATCTGGGTCCCCATATATGGGTCATATCAATCTTATTTAAAAAAGTGAGGAATGTTCAGTTTTCCATGATATAAGCCTTTATAGACTTAAGGAACATTTAGTGTTGTGTTTTTTGAGAAACTCCCATATTTATTTAACATTATATTTCACAATGCACCATTTGAGACCAGTTACTGTGAATACAGGAATTCCTGAAGGCTAATCATTTAGGTAGCCTTTAGGAGCAGTGTGAGGAACAATTCATAGAGAATATGCAGTGGTGTGTAGAAGAAAATTATGCCATGATTAAGGTTTTTTGACCTTAGAATGTGATGAACCTCATTCAGATATATGAACCCTATTACAAGGACCAGTACATTAACACGACCACAGTATAACAGTGGTCCTCAGCTCCAGTCATGGGAGTTTTTAACTATTCCCTTCCCCAGCACACCTGATCCAGCTCATGAAGGGCTTGATAATTAACTGATGATTGTCTCCTACGATAACTGGGAGGGGGAATTGTGACTCATCTTCTCAAAGGTCTACTTCAGCTACGGAATACTGGAAAGTTTCTATATGAATAAAGTTCACTTTACATTCACCAGCACCATTTGAGTAGGACTTTAAGTCAGGATTTGGATTTTGGATTAGCTTCAACTTTTTGAAAGGTGGTCTTAGTGGTGCTAGCAGTATATTGTGAAACTGATGCACCATAATATTGCTTTTCATTCTTAGCGATACTTTAAGTATATTTCGAGCAATATACTTGGTGGATAATGGACATTATATCAATGGCATGTTGCTCATTCTTTCAAGAGCAGGAGTTAAGTTAGTTCAACTCTCAAGTATGCCAAGCTTATGAAATCTCTCTCTATTGTTGCACATTAATATTGACTGTTACAGTAGCTGTCAGTGAGTATCAGCAGTCCTTCTGAAGAGCTCTTGGTATCTTGTATGAGCTATAGCTTGTACCTGTGTAATTAAGTTCTAAACAGTAACTGTGGGTCAATAGAAACTTGACTCATCTGTGGGAGGAAGGCCAGGCTGAAATTCTTATCTTTCTGGGTGACTCTTCAAACTCAAATGTAATCATTTGCTAATCAGTTGGACATTTATGGTGCAGCTGATGCAAATTGTAAGCCGTTCAGGGGATGGTAAATTTTTCCAATCTTGAGAATAGTGTCTTTCTGCTGAAGTGTAATGTGACATTTATATCAGGTCACCTTAATGTACACTATATGTCCAAAGGTTTGTAGACACTTGTTCATCTAGTGTTACTTCTGAAATCAAGGGCATTAGTCGGGTGCTTTCTGCAGTAACTACTTACTTGGAAAGGCTTTACGCTAGATGCTGGAACACTGCTGTGATTATCTGATTGTGTCCCACCACAACAGCATTAGTAAGGTCAGGTACTAATGTTGATTTATCAGTTCTGGATCATAAACTCCACTCTAACTCATCTGGAGCTTTGGAGGAGCTCCATCAGTCCAGAGAACCAGTTCCACTGCTTCACAGCCCCATGCTGGGGGGGCTTGATATCCCTTTAGCTGATGCTTGGCATTGGACGAGTTGACATTATGGTCATGAGTGGCTGCTCCAGAGCCTCCCATTATTTCATCAATGCTTTTCTTTAGAGATTATACAAGCTTTGTTTGAGCAATTGAACACCGGCATCAGTAATGGATGCACCTTAAAGTAGCTGAATTCACTAATTAGATGGTATGTCTACATACGTTTGTACATAAAGGTTATGGTTAAAATAGAAATGTTTTTTACATTATAAAATCAGATTATTTTATTTATTATAACTTTTTATTAATGAGTCACAATCTTTGTTTGAGGGTTTTGAATGATGGAGTTTACATACAATAGTAGGACAAACAAAGTAGTTTTGTCAGGTTCTGATTATTAGTTATTGTAACTGGAACAATTGTGATGAATTCGTTTGAGCAAGATCTCTCCAATGCTTCTATTCTTTTTGGAAATCAGTTGATTGATAAATAATCCTTGCATTCATTAATGTTATAACTGCACTTTGACATCTTCCACACCCATTGTGTGTCAGTCCTATATACCCACACACCCAGACCAATTTAGTCATGCAGTGCTGTTCTTACAGGCGCTCTGATCTCAATTGTGACTGCCTCTGGGTTGGGGCTGCTGTTGTTCATCGCACTCTGTTGGTGCTTTTTGAGGAAAAGGTAGGTGTTACAGTCACATATGGTGCTAAGCCTCACTGTAAAGGTAGTTTTTGTGTAACCTGTAATGCTGACCTTAATAGTAGCCATTTTAAACAAATGTCTCTGTTGAGTCAACAGATGACTCTAACAGGACTTGTTGACGTTTCCAAACTAATATGATAAGACACTAACACCAGAGGCTGCCAT